CTGACTTAATAGCAGTGAATCTCAACCTTCCCAATGCTGCATCCCTTTAATACCATTCCTCGTGTTTGGTGACCCCCAACTGTAAAATTATTTTTTGTGACTGCTTCATAACTGTAACTTTGCTACTGTTATGAATCATAATATAAGCAAGTGTGTTTTCCAGTGGTCTAAGGAGACCTCTGTGAAAGGATTGTTCAACCCCCAAAGGGTCAGGACTCACAGATTGAGAACCACTGGGCAAGAACAGCAATAACAACCAAGGGAATTCTTTCTACTAGAAATGCATTGAATGTGCGGAGACTGGGAAATTCCTTTCCTATGCCATTTTCTTCTCATTTTCAAGAGCATGTAGCAGGAATTATTTGGGATCATACTCTACCCCCACCTAATTGCCATGAAAAAAAAAAAACTGGTTATTTTATTTGAATCATTGATATCCATTCCAGTTTATACAAAATGACAAGTTAAATGTAGCTTGCAATCAGTCGAGCTTGCCACCCACCTGCTTTTAAATAAATATGACAGCCCAGCTTCTGTAAAGCTACCAGAACTTGGCTTTGGGTGCACAGAGGTCTTCTGGAATGGAGTGAGACAGTAAAGATGGATAAATTTTAAAAGAGGGCTGATGCCCAGAGCCAGGGAAGCCTGGAGTGCCTATGAAACAACTTGGGCTTTGCTTTGAAGTGGATGTTGATGAAGCTCTTGCAGCTTCAGGGTGGAGAAGGATGGCCGATAGGAGAGACGCTCATGGGATAGATTGGCAACGGGGAAGGAAAGGCATGAAGTAAGGACAACAGCTAACATGTCTTAAGTAATCTAGGACATGTCTTAAGTAATCTAGGACAAAGTGGTATGGCCTCAGGTAAATACAGTAAAACTAGTGGGGAAAGGAACTGACAAGGAAAACAGCTTAAAACTCAATGGGAAGACTCCCCTGAGGAGCCAGCATTCACTCCAGGGCACGACACTGGCTGTTGTCTTAAGTGTCTGTTTCCCACACTCTTAAAGCTCATGCTGACCTCTTTGCTGCAACCATTCTTAATAAACCCCGACCTAGCTGCCTAAGATAACAGCTAAATGAATAGTTCAAGGGAGCTTTCGTGTGCCTAGACTTAGGCACAGGTGCCATCCCTGCTGTTACTCGTCTTGAGCATGCTCTCGGCTGAGGAGTTGGATAAACATGCCTGTCCCTTCCATGGACATGTAGATGGGTTTGTTGTGGTTGCGCCGAATACGCACCTCAGGGCAGCGTCTCACACGCTAGGAAGAGGACACAGTTTACATGTGGCTGTCAGACATTCGCCTCTGCCTCCTGGTCCCTCCATTTGGTGTCTCCCAGCTTCTCCTCCAACCGAGAAGGCTCACTGTATAGCACGGCACCCTTCCCAGAGATAATGTAGGTCCTATACAGATGTTGACGCCAATCCACAGGTTGGCGGCGCGCCTCTTGGTTTAAATTTATTTCTAAAATCAATTCAGTCATTTCGTAGTCTAAGCCTAGAAATCTAGGTATCAATAAACACTAATATTCTTAGTAGCCTCACTGATAAAAATTATAAGAATTAAGTATTACTTGCATTAGAAATATAATTTTCTTCTTTCCAAGTGGGTTTTTTTTTTTTTTTTTTTTTTTTAGAGGAAAACATAATTCATCTTGGCTTAGGAATTTTTCCAAGCTTTGTCTTTTCTTCTGAGGGCAGAAAAACTAGATTGGCAGTTACGTAACTGAATCGTCAAGCAGTGTTAAAATCCCCCTCGCATACACAACATAGATGCATACATACATGATTACATAATACATGCACGCATGCATGCATACATTCATACAGATGAAAGCTAGGAGATGGCTCAGTGGGTTAAGGGCTTTTCATGCACATATGAAGACCTGTGTTGGAATCCCCAGAGCCCACATTAACACAGGCCTGGGTCACGCTTGCCTATAATCCCAGGGCTCTCAGGGCAAAATAGGAAGTGGAGAAAGGATTATCTCAGGTGGCTCATGGACCAGTCAGCTAGGTGTCCAAAGGAGCAACACAGAAACCCCGTCTCCAACAAGGTGGAATACAAGGACACCCGAGGTTGTGATCTAACCTTGACGTCCACACGATGGCACACCTGTGCACTAGTCCTCACACACACTCACATGCACGCACATACGAACCAATCATACGTGCTGCGGCACACCGAAGAAGCTTGCACCCCAAACAGAGGCATCTGACATATCTGCTATGAAACGGAAAATGTTTCGGCTACAGTGGCGTTTTCACTGGGCTGATGCTAACGAAATCGACAAAGCCTTCGGCTCCTGCGGCGTGCGGGAGAGCGGCAGTGGACCACTGCCAGCCCCGGGCTTTATCGCAGTGTAAATGGGGTTTTAAGTGTTTGTTTCCAGGGCAGGTTCTCGCAGCCCAGGCACTTCCCAGTTTCATTGTTTCTTTGTTCTGCCGGATGTACAAAGGATTGACTGTTTTGTTTTCTGGCTCAGAGAGATTAGATAAAGTCTGCATTTCTGAAGTTCACCCTCTAGGCACGCAATCTTAAAATTCATTTTTTACGGCTCGTATTTTGCAGATTGTGTATAATTAGACTACACTGCTCATAACACTTTCTTTAACCTTTATCTGGTTTGGTAGTAGACATAGATGGCAAGATTTATCTCTGTGGAACTTCCACTGGGGGAAAGTGTCCCTTTCGCCCTTGCCCTTAAAATGCTACTTCAGCAAAAATGTTTCTGCGTGGTTGGTCCCACTACTTTGTTCTAGAGGTTTGCTGGCTATTGGAATCTCACAATGGTAGGTGCCTTATTCTTGCCAGGTAACTAAAGAACCTTGTGTGAAGGGAAATTACCTTCTTTCCTTTTATTAAGGCATCTGTTGCATAGGATAAAAAAATTTAAATAACATTTACCTGCGTCACTCCCTCCAAAAAATTCTACATTTCAATTACAAAAAAAAAAAAAAAGTGAATAAAAATCATCTTGGAAAGTTCTTACTTTAACTTAAGAGTTAGAAAATTAGTTCCAGGATTTTTACCAAGACTTTTCTTTATAACAGAAGTCATTGAAGATACCATCAGTTCAGTTTGCAAAATTTTTTGTTTTGTTTTTGCCTCCTTGTTATAAATGATTCAGAAGAAAACATTTATTTATTTGATAAATGAGACAGAAATAGGATTTTGAACTAAGTACCCATTGCATGTTGAGTCAAAATCTCTATATCTGGTTTGCTCTCAAAACTCCTTGGAACTCTTGTATTTATTATTATCACGATTTGTTTGTTTGTTTGTTTGTTTGTTTATTATTGCACTCCAGACAAACAGGGAGTCAGAAGCTTCGATGAAACTCAGTGTCACATCAGTGGTATGCAATGGAGCCAAGATTTGAACTTAGCTTCATCCAGTTCCAAGGTTCATGCTCTCTAGAACCATACATCACTGGTTCTGTGGCAGATAAATCAGCATGGAATAGGAACCATAAGGACAGCTAATGTTGAGCATTACAAATTCCCCAGGTATAAAACAGCCAAGCCATAGAGCCAGATTCAAAGTCACGAAATGCTAAAACATAGAACTGTCAGCCAATCACAAGGGTGGGAACAGTGAGAAGTTTTCAAAGCTCACCTGTGCTCTGAGCTCTCTGTCTGAGGTATTGCCTTTACTGGTTTCTCAGCTATTCTTCGTGTTTTTAATAATTATTGATATATATTCATGGCATCTTTAATTTTTACAGAATGATGAGCTCACATAAATAATAGCTTAAAACATAAAGGCACCAGATTTCATAGGCTGTATTGCACATATGATGTCTTGTTCACCCACAGGTAGTCTTATGAACTGCCTGCCCAAAGATGCCATCTGAATAGAGAATAAGGTTAACTTACTTGCTGGAGCTGTGCTAATCACAAATGGGCATCTTCTTCAGGGAGTACATTTATTATAAGGTGTATAATTCTGGGTATCATGAACAAAAGTCAATCCATCAGGACATGGCTGGAACTGAGGTCTGTCTAACTGTGTCACTCAAACAAATGGCCCGATTTACAAATTGCTCCTCAATGTCTCCTTCTGACTTTTGTGGCCAAAAACTATGCAAGACTGATACATTTTTTTTTCCCATGTAGATGTTTCTCAGTGGTTCTGTTCCCTGCTTGCAAACTAGGGACAGCCTAAATTCTTATATTCAACTTCTCACTATGCCTAATGAATAGCTGCTCATAAGATCATGTTGACCTCTGAGCTAGTTCCCAGTCCCATGATACCCTCTTCATCCTGATTCAAGTTCAATGGTAAAGATTCAGCAAGGGCAGAGTAGCACTCCCCACACTGACCCTGACTTCAAGAATGTCACCCAAGTGACATGAATTGTTAGGTGCGAAACATTATCCATCCCATCAGCGCTGTGGACCCTGTCAATGCCAGCATCCTCCAGAACTAAGGTTTTAAAAATATAGGGATAGTGGTAATCTCAGATGTTGGGAGCATCTAATTTGGTAAGCAAATCTATCTTAGGCTCAATATCAAATCTAATAGCTAAAAGCTACCCAAATTTATGTTTGTAAATGACACCAAGGATCCACAACCTAGGAAAAAGCTGGGTACAAATTCCAAACTCCTATTGTCCCCTACTAGTTTTTATATTTTCCGGTTGGAGCCTCAGTATTTAATGAAGCACCGGCTGGGTGCTTGTCAGTGTCTGAAAACATGCTGAACTTCCCAGTCCAAGAAAACATAGCCTTGATTGAATTTTCAGGGTCAGACCTACCTTAACACAAAGCCCTTATCAGAAGTAGGAATTCACGTCTCTAATAGGTAAGGGAGCTGTGTGTTTGCGAAATGAGACAGTGGGTTCGCAAGTGTAGCAACAGCAATAGGCAATATTTTTTCCTCAGGCGGTGGATTCTTTACATTTTTAAGGAAAGTGAACCTCGGCTGCAGCAGAATAAACAGTTATTTTCAAAGACCTCATGCTGTCTTGTCTTTGATGGTGGGTGTCTGCTTTGCAGATCTCCTGCCTCCTGCCAGGTTTGAAGTCAACCCTGAGAAGACAGCTTCAACTACCCTGCAGGTCCAGTGGACCCCCTCTTCTGGAAAAGTCACCTGGTATGAGGTGCAATTATTTGATGAGAACAATCAAAAGATACGAGAAGTCCAAGTTCGAGAAAGTACCACATGGAGCCAATACACCTTCTTGAACCTCACTGCTGGTAGTAACTACAAAATCGCCATCACAGCCGTGTCTGGAGAAAAACGCTCCTCTCCCATCTATATCAATGGATCAACAGGTAAGATCTGTGTTGTCGGTAAAGAGTCTGCAATATCTTTTCTTTTCTCTCTTTTTCTTCTTTTTGCTGGTGCCGGGGATGAAACCCCAGAGACTCCTGTGTGCTAGGCAAGCACCCCCCAGCCCTCTGTGTCACCTCCAATACTATACGTTATTCAAGGAATGGGAACACGACATCTCTCATAAGCAAATAAAGTAAATATCCTGTCAAAAGGAGGCTATGATACAGGGAGGAGACCGGACTAAGCAGACAGTGTGTGTGCTGCTGCTGTAGAGCTAGGCGATTTCGAGCAAGTTACTAGATTTCTCTGAAAATGGAGTTTTCTCATTTAAAACAGGGACTCCCTATAGGTCTATCTAATTCAAATCCAGGAAAAAGAGATTTCTGCCCCTTGCCTTCCAAATTTGTGACTTATTTGTTCTCTCTCTCTCTCTCTCTCTCTCTCTCTCCTTGTATTTTCATAATATCACCCCTGTATTTACAATAGGTTTTTGGCTTCTTGGATATGCTGAAAAATAATTCATCTCACGTCCCCATGTGTCATGACATCACTCCCGGGAAGTTCCTGGCTTTCCTGTCACTTGCTCTTCCCTCGCTGTGTCTGCTTATTTCTATCTCTTTCCATTTTTCCTCAAGTTTGTTCCTTTGTCTCCTCTAAGTATTGTCATGCTACACTACACTGATTGGCAACACATCCAGAGTCATCTCTGTAAAACAGGGGAGAAAAGACCAGCAATGCATGATGTCCCTTTAGCCCATAAAGCCTGTGGACTTAATAAAGATGGTTAATGAAGGTTCCAATGAACTCTCAAGAGAGCCATTACTAATTACTGCTATCATACAAGTTAGAATATGCTACAAGTATAAGTAAAGATGTAAATTAAAGAACTCTGCCTCTGTCTTCTACAAAGGGATCATGAATGACATTCTGGACATGTGTTTTCATCCCACTAGTGCCATCTCCAGTGAAAGATATTGGCGTTTCCCCCAATCCTAATTCTCTCCTCATTTCCTGGTCTCGTGGTTCTGGGAATGTGGAGCAATACAGGCTGATGCTGATGGATAAAGGAACCATAGTCCAAGACAGGAAGGTGGACAAGCATGAAACTTCTTACACTTTACATGGCTTGACCCCTGGCCACCTCTACAACCTCACCATTGTCACCATGGCCGCGGGCCTGCAAAACTACCGGTGGAGACTAGTGAGGACAGGTAAGCGCCTCCTCTTGGCTAAACAAGAGCAAAGCTCAAATTGAGTTTAAACTGGGTATGTTTTTGGATAATGGTAATGTAGGACAAACTGAAATTCATGTGAGTTATAGAAAGACTTTAACATATATCGGTGTTCATGAAGAAAAAAGATTCTCTTTTGTTCTAAAGTTGAAATTAGCCCTTGGCAACATTTTGAAGCAAAGTTAGTTGCTGATACGGTTCAAACTTTTCAATTTAATACACAGTGAAGGTCCCCAAGGGCTCTTAACTAGGCTTCTACTATCTTTGTAATCACCCACAGTAAGTCGGGAGTGCTTTTTTAGTGCTATATAGAGAGACATCCCTATATGACAGTCATTTCTAAAACCCTTTACCAAGAAAGCATTACAAAGAGCCCAGTCCCACAGCCCAACCTAAACTGAAAAAAAACAAAACAAAAACAAAAACAAAAAACCTAATTGGTGCTAGTGATTAATGAATTGTTCATTTGCACATTCATTTAGCCAATATTTACTGAGTGTTCAGTATATGCTAAGCATTGCAGGTTAGTGCCAGTCAAGAGAGACAATGTCAGAGCCCTCACGGAACTTATAATCATATGCTCCTAATTAGTACAATGTGGTGATAAACTTTTTCTCTGTGTGAGTTGTCTAATTTTAAAGTAAACTATAATATAGGTGGTACCTTTGAAATTGTTCTAATGGCAAGAGTATCTAGAACGACAGGAAGCTAAGGAGAAAGATTTGGGGGGACTCCTACATATAACACATAACACACTTCAAGGACATGTCAATGCTCCTAAAAAAGAGATATCTCAAGAGCAAGTAAAGTCAGATGCACACTTGCAATCCCAACACTCAGGAAGCTGAGGCAGGAGGATAACAAATTTCAGGACAGCCTTGACTATATAGCAAGTTCTAGACCATCCTGGACTGGAGAGAAAGAGAGGGAGGGAGAAAGGGAGGAAGGAAGAGAGACAAAGAGATACAGGGACAGAACAATAGAGAGACAAACACAGAGACAAAGATACAGAGAAAGAGAAAAAAAAACCCCACAAATTTGCCTTCTGAGTGTCCTATGCAAAGTCATTGTGCTATAGTCTCTCTTCTAGTGAAACTGTACTAATTTGTATTATGCCATTAGGCATAGTTACAGCATGTGTAAGAGGTAAGAAAAATATACACCAAAGCTTATCTCTTGTCCTGAGTTTTCCTTTGATGAAAGAGTAACACAGCTCTTCATCATGACTTAATATAAAAAGTGTTTTAGTGGGTTGGGGAGATGGCTCGGCTGTCAGGAGTACTTGCTGCTGTCCTGGGATTTGTTTCTAGCACCCTCATTGGGCAGCTTACAACTGCCGGTAACTCCAGCTCCCTGGAATCAATGTCCTCTTCCGGCATCTGTGTGCATTTGCACACACATGACATACATTCTCTCTCTCTCTCTCTCTCTCTCTCTCTCTCTCTCTCTCTTTTCACACACACATACACACACACACACACCTTTTAAAAAATATTTTAGCAGCCAAGGGCAGTGGCACACACCTGTACTCCCAGCATTCAGAAGGAAGAGGCAGGTGGATCTCTGTGAGTTTGAGGCCAGCCTGACCTACAAAGTGAGTCCAGGACAGCGAGAGCTACACAGAGAAACCTTATCTCAAAACAAAACAAAACAAAACAAAACAGTACTTTAGCACACAAATTTGTACAACTACCAACTAATCCACCTATTTAGTATGTACTTGATATTTATTAAGTATATAAACACTCACAAAAAAATCAAGCAGGGGGCTGGAAAATGGCTCAGAGGTTAAGTCTTGAGTTTAATTCCCAGCAACCACATGGTATAACCATCTATAATGAGATCTGGTGCCCTCTTCTGGCTTGCTGGCACATATGCAGGCAGAAAACTGTATAAATAAAAAAATAAATCCAAGAAAGAAAGGCAGGAAGGAAGGAAGGAAGAAAGAAAAAGAAATAAAGTAGATGGCATAGCTCATTGTAAAGTCTCTCTAAAGAATCCCAGAGCTTCAAATGAATGCAGAGAATGTTCTAACCAAGCTTTATTTGCCAGGAAGCAACTAGGCAGAGTGAGACTGGCAGAGAACTGCCCAGTGCTCTGTGGACCGCTTGGCAAGTCCACCCAGAATCCAGGCTCTTGACTGTAAGACGCTCTTACCATAGCGCAGTCTTGCTTGGATTTCCAGTATTGTCTTGTCTCTCAAGCAGTTTTCTCTTGATCCGAGAGTATGTCCCACAGGCACTAAAGTCCAGGTGAAAATGTGCCTATAGGAAGGGCAAGAGATGAGGAGTAAAATCTCTGTTTTATTCCTTGCTGATTAGCTCCGATGGCGGTCCCAGATCTGAAGGTCACAAATGATGGCAGTTCGACCTCTCTAAAAGTCAAGTGGCAGAAACCTCTTGGAGATGTAGACTCCTACAACGTTACCCTGTCTCACCAAGGGACCATCAAGGAATCCAAAACATTAGCACCCCGTGTTACTGAAACTCAGTTTACAGACTTAGTTCCTGGGCGGCTTTACCAGGTTACCATCATCTGTGTCTCTGGTGAACTGTCTGCTCAGAAGATGGCAATGGGCAGAACAGGTAAGTCAGCCTCCAGAATAGTCTTTGGTTGCTTCACTCACTCTCAGGTATAGCTCAGAATAGGACAAAATAACATAGAAGGAAATTTCTTCTCCTACCTGAGAAGGAGGGTTTTTGTTACCTTCCTTCTATTCCAAGGAAGCCCATGGAATAGAACCCATGCACAGAGGTTCAATTGCATAAATTTTGTCACTTAAACGAATGTGCCTGGGTTCCTGTGTGATCTGCATGCTGTCCCTGCTCTCTGCTTTCTCATGACATGTCACCTAAGTGTCACAAATACACTACTGATATGATGTCAATGAAGGAAATGTTTATGGTTCATTCTTTTAAAAAGGCCAAGTTAGCACTTAATCATGTTTCCCATAAATAATTTTATGTTACTGGACATAAAATCTCATTCTTTATTTGGATAAATTAGTGTATTTTGAACCTTGGACATCGTTAAATGGTTATGATATCCTATTTCTTTTAAAGCAAGGTTCTGCAAAGCACACTCTGTGGGCAAACCTGCTTGGTGGCTTGTTTTTAATATTCTTCTAAGTGAAAATATGACATTTCAGGGGCCATTTTTTATAGTTCAATAAAAGGTTATCTGCCGGTCTTTGCTTAATAGATGTTGTATTTTAACCAAAGATGTAACACACGCACACACACATGCACACACACACAGACCAAGAATAGTATCCTTTAGAAATACTAATGGCATTGAAAATTTCCTGTCAGGCCCTGTGTAAACACTTTACACCTATTTTGCTTATTTATTACAGGAAAACTGTAAGCTAAGAGCTATGCTGTTAACATAGACGTTGTACAGATAAACTGGAGTGATTTAGTTACTTGTTCCTGGTCATCTGGCCAAAAAGTACTGGGGTTGGAATTTAAAGCAGGTGGTTCAGTCTGTGTCCAGCCCCATTAGAGATCTCAAGTAAAAGCTGTATGGTCAAAAGGGATCAAAAAGAGTATTCTCTTTCAGAAGATCAGTAGAAGCTTAGTGGAAATGGCTTCGCTGTAGAACCCAGACTAAGTGAACTTTCTGGCAAATAAAAGAGGAAAAGAAGAAATGTCTGCGAAAGAATGAATGGTGGGAACAAAGTCTCAGAAGTGAAAGAGTTCAGGAGACCACAGTTCTGCCGCACACACTCCTGAACACACTAATGGGGAAAGGGAAGGAGGTAGGGAGACTCTAGGGAGATGTCAGGAGGAGGTCTAGGAGGAGAACAGGTCTGAGCTTGAAGGGACACAGATATTAGGTGAAGGACCTGAGGTTTTGTTTGATTGTTGTTTTGGAGAGACCCTGAGTGTTTTGTACTCGAAACATGCCGAAAGCCAAAATGCGTGAAGTTTGTCCTTCCCAGTCAGAATAAAAAGAATGAGAATGTTTCATGAGCAACAACATACACTATCTATTTCAAAAGCTGTTCCATTTGCCTGTGTCACCATTATGAGATACAATGTCAGTACGATCTCCAGCACTGGCAAGCGAGAAATGGAAAACAGAGATAGCATCACCAGACTATGAGCAGTGTTGCAAGAAAGTGCATAACTGTCCTATTGTTGAAATGATTTTCGCATGCATTTCTTGAATGTCAAATGTCTTCGAATTGAAAAAGTGTACTCAGCTGATGTACACAGACTTCCGGAGGGGTGCAAATGTGTACAACAGCAGCCACTGTGTTCTCTATACATTGCTTCTCATAAAAGGCAAGTGAATATTCTTAATTTTTTGTTTTCAATATGTTCTTGGCATGTCCTTGTTTAGTTCCAGAAAAGGTGAGGAATCTGGTTTCATACAATGAGATTTGGATGAAGTCCTTCGCAGTGAACTGGACGCCCCCTGCTGGAGACTGGGAGCACTATCGTATCCTGCTCTTCAACGAGTCCTTGGCGCTTCTCAACACCACAGTGGGAAAGGAGGAAACACACTATGTCATGGATGTCCTGGAGCTCATACCAGGGAGACAGTATGAGGTGGAAGTCATCGTTGAGAGTGGAAATCTGAGGAATTCTGAGCGCTGCCAAGGCAGGACAGGTAAGCAAGCTTGTAGGGTTTCATGATTGGCAGAACTTAATTCCTTCCCTGCCTCACAAAACCAGATGTTTTACTTCTGTACTCCCTCCCTAAAGGTGAGATGGTAACAGGCTAACAGAGTTTCAAACATTTAATTTTGGCAATTTTGAACATCGAACCTCCTTTCCACGGGTAACTTTCATTATTTTATGAAAGAAGACATTTTAAAATTTTGTTTTTATGCCAGGTGGTAGTGGTGCAAACCTTTAATCCCATGATTCGGAGGGCAGGGGTAGGTGGATCTCTGAGTTTGAGGCCAACTTGGTCTAAAGAGCAAGTTCCAGGACAGCCAGGATTACACAGAAAAACCCTGTCTCAAAATGTGTGTGTGTGTGTGTGTGTGTGTGTGTGTGTGTGTGTGTGTGTGTGATTTTTAAACTGTGTGTTGGGGCAGGGAGGGGGGTATGTGCTCCTGAAAGAAGGCAGAGGATCCCACGGACCTAGCATTATGGGCACTTGTGAGGTGCTCGACATGAGTACTAGAAACTGAACTCCATCCTATGCCAGAACAGTGAACATTCTTAAGCACTGAGATCTCTCTCCATCCCCAAGAAAACACATTTTAAATGCCAAACAACAGGCAAGATACAATCTGAGAATAACGACCAATCTTCCAAAGAGTGCTGGTAACTAAGTTACCATTGCCTTGCCCTAATATTGAACAATTTGGGAATTTGAGCACCAGGTACCCTGGTGATTGACGTGGAGAGGAATGTGTCTCGATGTCAGGATAGGGCGTGTTAGGATACATGAGTCTTGATCATGTTGTTGTCACCATTACATTGCAATTTCTCTGGCAAATCATAAAACCCTGAACCTGCTTTCTCAACTCTCAGGTGCGACAGTTATCCTGCCGAGTTCTACATTTCTATGATGACTGTCGGGATGCAGAATAGCCCATACTTCAAGTGAAATCTATCTCCTGTAGTTTTGCCTGATAAAGAAATGACTCTGCACTGATTCAAAGTTATGAGAAGAATGATAAATAGGATGGTGATAATAGCCTCTTAACTCATAGCCTGTATCTTTCAGTGATGTTTTCCTCTTCCAAATATTAATGTCTGGTGGATGATGCTCAAAGAACTAGCCCGCTTAAGTCAAGACACTGTATGGGTGTCTCTCTTATCTCCCAGTATTTTGCCAGCCACACCAATTACTTTCCAGATTCAAAGAATCTAGAAATGTAAGATAAATAGTCTAGTCCAACCTATTGGCACAATTCTCTGGAGAACCCCCATCCCACACTCCATCTTTGATTTTTATTTATTTCATGCTGAATTTGCTTTCAAACTATAATATTTTTTTCCTCAGTTTCTTCTGTGCAACCTAGTCTTCTAGTTTAAAAACAATTTGTTCCTTCCTGATAAGGTTCATGTCCATGCTGCTGGAGGGCTCAGAAATCTAACTCTCAGCACTGCGTCTATAGCACGGTGTGGTTAGTGCTTTGCTCACCTGAAGGTCTACAGCCAAACCCTTAACTGTCTCTCACCCTGAATTTTGAAACATGAACAAAGCAATTCAACACTTTTTGGAGGCCACTGACCCAGGGTTCGACCTGGACCCCACAGACTTGTACACCTACCAGAATTCACACTGTTTCTTTAAAATGACATCTTTCAGATACTGGTGATATTTTTCAGAAACACACGTCCTTCCTGGCCAGGGAGGTTTTGCAAATGTCCTCAGAGTGAATGCAAAAGGTAGAACCCTTTGATTTGCATATTTTTCCAGATTTTTCTGTTTCGTTAGAGCAGCAAACCATTTTCACAGGCCACCTAGGGGTTGTTTTAAAACCACACTTCCAGGTGATGAATAAAGTAGCACGAGGTAGGCCTTGATTCTAATCATCAGTGGTTTTTGTACATTGACGAAAGGCGCATTGGTCCATTACCACGGAACTGCAGAAATCAAATTGCAATTTTATACAACTGACTCTTTTATAATTTGGCTTCCCTGTTGTTTGGGGGGACCGATATTTTGCTGTTAGCAAGGTCTTCTAGAAATTTGTAATGATAACATCTTTTAAAGAAGTAGAAGAAATCGAGATTCCATTAAGATAAGGGCTACCCTTACTAAGATTGTCATTGTTTTCAAGTTGCCTTTCCCTTCGTGACACAGCAGGGCCCACCCAGAGATACACAGAGGCATTTGGTCCATCTAAGCCAAGTGCCGTTGAGAATAATAAATGCCTCTCACTCCACTCAACTACTCAAGCAATTCTCTGTAGTTCTGTGGGTCAGAGGATGTTGGTTAATTATTTTCGAAACAATGATCCACAAGAAGAGAGGAACTACAGAGGTGGCTGAGCGGTTACAAGCACACCCAACTCCTGTAGAACCTAGGACTGATGGAAGAGAGTAGCTCTCTAAAAACTGCCGATGGCTGTGGACTGGACCTCACGTCTCTCTTGACTTTTTCTTCAGTCCCCCTGGCTGTCCTCCAGCTTCGTGTCAAACACGCTAATGAGACATCACTGGGCATCACGTGGCAGGCCCCTACAGGTGAATGGGAGAAATACATCATTTCACTGATGGACAGAGACCTCTTAGTCATCCACAAATCGCTCTCCAAGGATGCCAAAGAATTCACCTTTACAGACCTGATGCCTGGACGAAATTACAAGGCGACCATCACCAGTATGAGTGGAGATTTGAAACAGTCATCTTCAGTAAAAGGAAGAACAGGTAGTGACACTCACTCATTTTACAATGGCCTACCCACAGAAGCTTGCAACTATCCATTAAGTGCATGCTATGCCTCTTATGTACCTGGCACAACATTACGACCCTTTCTGTTGTGTTTTCAATTTTTACCAGGTTTCTTCTTTTGTTTAAGTGTATTTTACTAATTGAAATACATTAGAGAATAACCTTGCTGTGAAGTTTTGCTTGCAAAAGAGAGCAGAGAAATGGGACACTATCAAGAATAGGGAGTATGATAGAAAGTATTGTTTTTAATTATTAAAAATGGAGGATGCTGCATGTTGGTTGTAATATCTACAGGAAAATGGGGTGTTGATATCATCAGGAGAGGGGCAAATGTTGTTGGCCTTCAGGGAGGGGTGTCGGATCTATACCCCAATGAGAGAACTGGCTTTAGAGAGGAGAATGGATAATTTCGCACCAGTGTCACCTGGGAAAGAAAGTGCGTGAGTGCTGATGCCAGCAGGTGGCAGATGTTCTTGGAACTGCTGTGGTTTTCTCATCAAGCCTGGTGTTGGCAATGTGCAGGCTCTGGATAGCCTGTGTTGTCTTTCCCTCCTACTGCAACTTCTTTTTTTAGTGTATAGATGAGTGATTGCCTGCGTGTATGTGTGTGTACCACTATGAGTGTGCCTGGTGCCCACGGAGGCCAGAAGAGGATGTCCTGTCCCCAGGAACTGAAGCTACAGAGAGTGAGCCCGCATGTGGATTCCAGGAAACAAGCCCAGGTCCTCTCCTAGAGCAGCAAGTGTTCCTACCTGCTGAGCCCTCCCTACAGCCCTTTTATTTCTCCTTGTAAATTCTACCACCCCAAAACATGGTTTTGTGAAGCTATGCTCTCTTTAGTTTTCTTCCGACTTACCGTACCGCCTGTTTTTTCTTTTTTCTTTTTTTTTTTTTTTTCCTCTGTATTTCAGAAGTTCCATGAGAGAGGGTTTTCTTTCTTCCGGAAGGACAGTCCTTAAATTCTTTGTTGAAAAATCCTGGAGACAAACTCTCTCCACTTTTGCTTTTTTTTTTTTTTTTTCCCCTGGGTGTGTCTTTATGCAGCTTTCAATTTTGCAAAGCCGTTTCCTATGTTTTTGTCTTGTGCTGAAAGACATTTTCTGTCAGGACACTGGAAGTGTTTTCCTATTCTCCGGCCATTCATTGCCGCTGTTAAAAAGTGGGCTCCCAGGCCAGTTCACACTTCCCTCTGAGAGGTCCACTTAATGTGGCCTCTGCAGTCCTGCTGCTCCATGGGGACAGTCTAGGTACAGAAACCCTTCCACTCGTTTACGTGAGATGGGTCGGGATTTCTGTGCTTTCGGGGGCCTTGTCTCCATCCTGGAAATTTTCCGCTACTACCTCTGAGAGTTTTGTCTCTCGCCTCTCTCTCACTCCCCGTTTGTAACACAGAGATACACATGCCTCACATTTCCACGTATTTGCTTCCTGCTCTGCAATCTGCTTGATTTTTTTCATCTGGTTCCTTTAGCTGACTAATTCTCTCTACAGCTCTATCTAATCTGGTAAATTCTGTTATATTTTTCACTTTCAAATATCCTCTTTGGTTTTCTCCCAAGTCTATATATGTCCTTTCACTCTGAATTAAGTGTATTCACACAGATTCACAAACATACACACTCACGCACACGTACGCACACACTCTCTGACACACACACACACACTCATCCACATGCACACACACAGACTGAGCAAGAGTTCTATGACTGAGTTATATCCCAGGCCCTTTAGATTTGTTTTAACTGCACTCTTTTATTACTACAATCTAAATGTAAATGTTTGTTTTGCATTCTGTCCAGTCTTTTTCCTGAAATCTGGAGTCTGCAGCAGTTATAGGCTTTTGTCTGTTGATTTTTTTGCTGCTATTTGCTTAAGCAGCTTTATTTGTTTAAATGTTTCTCTCTCTCTCTCTTTTTTTTTTCTATAGGCTTATATACCCTGGAATCTTATTATATGAGACTTCTTTAAGGCGTTGTTTAATGATGGTTTTCAGAAAGAATTTTCATTTGATTCTTCTGTGTACCCAGGACTGCTGTCAGCTCACACCTGGTTCAACACAATTAGTCAGTCTGAGTGTTTTGAACACCCACATTTGTGAATTCCAGTTGTAAGCACATCGAAGCTGTCTCAAGGTTAAGGATTCTCAAGAAGGCTTGGGAGTTAGATCAGAGGCAGAGACTTTCTCAGCACATAGAAAGTCTACAGAAAAGAAGGAAAACACCTCAAAGAAAATTGTTTTCTCCTGCAGACGTTAAGAAGGCTCAGAGGCGCAGGGAGGAGAGAGGTAGGCTGCAGGATGGAGTTCTGTGTAGGCTCAGCCATCAGCTTCCTCAGCCTGGGCGTGTCCTACACTTTATCTCCCGCTCCAGGGTTCTGCACTGCTGGAAAATCAGAGCGCGAGTTCACGTCTGAAACATGCCTAAGGCAGCAGTTCGCTTCAGTAATCCAATAACCCACCACTTCCTTACCAGCCTCTGAGAATTCCTCACGTTCCTGACCATGTATTGTTTTCATTGGTTTTGTTCTCATCCAATATGTGGGCTATGTTCATTGGAGTGATTTTTTTTTTTTCATTTTTGTGTTAATAATCTAGCATAGCGCTGGAAACGAAAGGCCACGGCATTGTTTTAGATGTTAGTGTTTTCCTCACCCCTGTTCATACTCTTGGATGATACTCTAAGTGTGGTATATTTTGTTTAACTTTGTGAGGAACTGCCGCTCTCTCTTCTACAGCAATTAAAACGCTTATTTTCTCATGTCTTGAGATGGGGTTCTCACTGTGGTGCCCAGGCTAGCCCCAAATTCCTGGGGTCAAGTGACCAACCCTTCGGTCCCAGCCGCCCCATTAGGTAGCTGGGACCACAGGCATGTGCCACCATCCAGCTAGATTACACACTTTTTGCACTGCTGTAAACAATGCCTGGGCGCTCCAGGCAGCACTCCATGTTTATTGTGTGTCTCTGTGTCTGTTTGTTTATTTTAAAACTTAGCCATTCCAGTAGATGTGTTAGGGGACTCTTATGTCTGGTGGCTTGAGAAGCCTTTCCTATGCCTTTTCCCTATCTATGATCTCCTTTTGGAAGGTTTTTGGTCAGATATTTTTCTCATTGTTCAGTACCATTGTTAGTTGTCTTTTCTTCCTTCCTTCCTCTTTCCTTCCTTCTTTCCTTTCTTTCATTCATTTGTTTTTTTCTGAGACAGGGTTTCTCTGTGTAGCCATGGCTGTTCTGAACTCACTCTTATAGACCAGGCTGGTCTCCACCTCAAAAAGATGCGCCTGCCTCTGTCTCCCTGAGTGCTGGACTTCGAATTCTGTTCCATCCACTTATATGTCTGTCTGTCCTTTGCCGGTTTTATTCATACCATCCTAATTACTATGACTTTCTAGTAAAATTGGCTGATATTTGTTCTTCAGCTTTGTTTTTGTGATTAGTGAGGAGGCGGTTTTGTTTTTTGTTTTGTTTTGTTTTAACTGTTCTGGTAGTTATAGTTCCTTTACTTTCCATATAAAAGTTAAAATCAGATGGTTCTACTGAACTATGTATAACATTTTGGTCAATATATTCACACCTTAGCCCAAAAGTTAATGAACTTTAAGGAGGAGGCTACTGAAGCTATGATTATTATGACCTAAGGCAGGAGCACAAAGAGAACCAAATGTCAACTTCAGTGTCTGTGGCCACTAACCAACGGTTGGAAGTGGCAGTAGCTGATAATTAGGAAAAGGTCACAGGCTTAAGTGTGAGAGAACTGTAGCCTGGCTATCTGCTGATTATTAATCAAGCTGTGAGGTAAGCTAGAGAGATGCTGTCATGATGTTTGATTTCCTCATTAGTAAAGGAAATGTGAAATTAACCTTATAGACACTTATGAATATTAGATAATATGACCTCTCAAATGCCTTCTGCTCCGAACGGTAGTAGGCATTCACTACTTACTATAATTGCCAATACTGTCATTTTATAAATTCTATACATTATTATAGAATTCTCATGAGCAATACAACAATAGCCCTTCGGAGGACATACTAATAAAGAAGTGACCAACTTGCTAGGCCCTAACGTAACCATAACCACCAACTTGAAGGAATTTCCCATTGCCACCCTGTAACAGCCCTTGGCTCCGGTAGATTTCAAGGTTTGTGTTCTTGTAGAATAAAGATGGATTAAAGTCATATTAAATAGAAAGTTCTCTAAAGCACCAAGCTTTGTTATATGAAGTTTAAAGTCAAAGCATCACCATCTCATCTTTACTGGCTGATTAACCAAAAGCTGTTGAATAAGCAGCTGTTTAAAGGGGCTGAACCTTAAGAGGAGCAAGTATCTATATGCCGTGAGAAACAGGGCGAAAAGCCCACATCAAAACAAACAAAACATGTTTTGGGTTTATTATTATTATTATTATTTGTAGCTCTTAGTCTGTCTCCACTTTGACCCCTCATTCGTACATTGCCTTGGGATGACTAAGCATAACGTGTTTTTTCTTCTCTCTGCTGCTCTGTAGTGCCTGCCCAAGTGACTGACTTGTACGTCACCAACCAAGGCACGACCAGTAGTCTGCTCACTAACTGGACAAAGGCATCAGGAGACGTAGAGTTCTACCAACTTTTACTGATCCATGAAAATGTGGTCATCAAAAACGAGAGTGTCTCCAGTGAGACCAGCAGGTACAGCTTCCGAGCTTTGAAATCCGGCAGCCTCTACTCGGTGGTGGTGACCACAGTGAGCGGAGGAATTTCTTCCCGACAGGTGGTGGCAGAAGGAAGAACAGGTAAGAAATTTGCAGATAGGTCTCTGTAACTTACAGATACCTCGGGTCACGGAGGTGCCTCCAACAGGAATATTTTTTTATTAATTGTAATCAATTAATTGATTTTTACATCCTGATCACAGCTTTCCCTCCCTCCTCTCTTCCCAGACCCTCCCTCTCACCTCACCTCCCCACCATCCTCCCATCCTCCCTTTCTCCTCAGAAGAGGCTCAGAAAAAAAGGAGGCCTCCCACAAATATCAACTCGTCTTGGCATACGAGTTCTATTACAGTTAGACAAGGCAGCCCCCAGTTAGGGGAAAGGGATCCAAAAGCAGGCAACAGAGTCAGAAACTGGCCCTGTTCCAGTGGTTAGGGGAACCCATATGAAGACCGAGCTTTACCACCCAGCAGGGATTTTTTTTAAGCATCCTAAAATCAGGCTTCTCTGTTTCCTTCCTAAGAGCTGGTTTCCATACCACCTATACACAATGGAAAGCAGCTGAAGAAGCATGAGGACAGGAGAGAGTACTGAGCTTTTCTTATATCTCCAATAACCACATCAAAGCTAGAAAAACATTTCAAGTCATAGTGACCACTTGGTATCTGAGCTTGTGCTCTCTTGGGGTTTTCCTTCAAATTTTTTTTCCAGTTAAAACAAACAAGTAATGATCTGTCTTACACACACACCGTCTTATTTTCAAGACACAGAAGCAAGATGATATCCACTTCACAAGATCAAAGCTGGGTTGATGTCATTCTCAAGTGGCATATGTGGAGTCTTGCTATGTTGGCCAGGTTGGCTCTGAACTCTCCGGCTCATCCCGGCCTCCTGCCTCAGCCTTTCCAATAGCTGGGGCTACAGGAGTATATGACTGCACTCCTGGAAAAGTCACATGTGTATTCTGTAAGCAACATCATCGAATGCTCAGTGCTGAATGCCGCCTCAACAATGCTCCTGACCTTCAGTGCTCCTTGTCCAATAAGAATGACCTAGGAGGATAAATAGGTATCATTATGGTCATTGTGCCTGAGAAGTTCAGCACCAAAAAAAAAAAAAAAAGAAATGGAATTTTTTCACACAACACATTGAAAGTACATAATGTATTATTTATTTCATATGACACATGCAATTTATGTTCCAGTTTCTTAGGGAAAAAATATATAAGCCCAACCGAAGCTTTCATAACTATGACTGGACTCAGAAGAGGGTCAATAACCTCGACCTCTTAATTTTACATAATTATTCCAAGTTGGATTCCATCTATGAACCCAACACTCGGACGCTAATTATCAGCAAAAGTCTCATTCAAAAATCAATCTCATTTACTTAATTTAACCCAGAAAACACCGCTTTCACTAACTTTCAGAGGTGCAGCTATGCAACTGAACTTGGTGTCAGAAATTCACAGATGGATGCCAGAGCTCTCATTCTGCATCAGCAGACATTGTCACTGGTGTCTTTTCTGACGCCCTCTTCCTTCTCTCCTAACAGCCGCTGGCACCATGCTTCGGTGTAGTAGAGTCGGGGGGAGGACTGAAAAGCTGAGAAGGACTTTGCACCCACCTTTCAGTGCATCTCAGCCTCCCTCGGTCTACTCAGACCTGTGTCCCGTCACATAGCTGTGCAGTGTGGGCGTTCCTGACTGGGCAACTCTATTGCTTGGTTCCAAGTAAAACTCAGGGACCCAGGCTCCTACTACCTGACGGTTTCCTTCCTCTGGGTTCTCACAGCTCTCTCCAGTTCTCCAGAGGATAAAGGTAGAGAGAGATTGGACATGGCACAGATCATTAGAGAAAGGAAAAAAAAATACAAACAGGACAGTGCTGCACACACACAATGACTAAGGATTCCGGAAGATCCTAGATTAACACAGTTTTTATAGAGAACATTATAAAAATGATTCCATGTCTCAAGCCAGAATAGTAATCACTTAGTATTTCTTCAAATGCTTGATATAATGGTCAACATTAAAATAGTTTTGAAAATTCTTCTTTTATCTCAGATAAGCTTTCACAGAGTTGAAGCAAGCACACGAAAACCTGTTCAGCCTGGATAGAATGGTAGGAACCCAAATTGAAAATATCAGATATCTGATCAATCTAATCCAGATCTGAGAACATTTTCATTCTAGAGAAATACCAAATAACTCGTGTGCCTATTTTATCTTAATCAAGTGAGTTACACTTTTGGCAAAACTCCTCCTGATAATTCTATCCTTTCTAAACAGCATATGCACAGCTCATCATTCGTGGGTACGATAGACTTTGAGGTTAATTCTTGGAATTCAGGCATATTAGATTAGGCCTCTCAGGTCTCACTTAGTTGAATCCTGTCTTTTAGGAGCCCTGACAATTACAGGAAAATCACCAGCTAAAAGCTGAGCAGCCCGGGATAAAAACAGCGGTACAGGCCTTGCGCAGTCTAAGAGTTCAGCCTGCCATTGCCAAAGGCAGTACGGTGCTCTAGACGCCTAACTCCAATGCATAATGAACTTTGAAATCAATACCCCAGTCACCAATTTATCATTTTTTACCTTGTGGCCGGGGAAAACCTTAAGGCATCCGTGTCCGTTGCATTTTTACGCACCTGGAAACATATAAGTTTCTTGGTAAACGTTTGTGGCATTGATCTGTAACTGATACAAGCAAGTGATAATGACGATGTCGGAAAGATGGTTTCTCCCATAGCTTTCTCTTGCCCAGTTTCCAGATGTACAAGGCTTCCAAGATGCGCTTTTAGGCTTCTGGCCGCTAGAGGGCAGAAGGCGCCTTACCATGGGATAGCTGCGCCTCCAGCTGTGTTTTCTATTATTAAACTCCCCAGGAATAAAAAACTTGATTACATAAAAGTCAAAGGTAACACAGAGTCTAAGATCTTCAGAAAATCCATGGAATTTTTCTCCTTTGCCATCAAGGATCTTTGATTATTTTTTTAAGAGTTTGGTTCAAACTGATTCATTTTGGACTGCTAAAACTTGTTTTTTCTTTCCTACCAAGACTCTCCCGCCTCCTTCACATAAAATACCTCTGGAAACACTCCCCACACAGATATCCCATGAAAGTCATAGTGCTTGGGTTATGAGGCGTCTAAAAGGCCTCCTCCTGTTTTTCTTTCATTAGTCTTCTGATGAAAGACTTTTACCTTCCCAAAGCCGCTTGGGATTCTGGTACCTCAACTTCCTGTATGATCAGCTCAGAGCTACCAGTCCCCAGTTCTTATTGAGGACTATAGCTAACCCAACCTTCTGGTTGTGTTTTCTTTGACCATGTCGCCCCTCGCTGGAACCCCCAGTCCCGTCCAGTGTGAGCGGAGTAACAGTCAGCAACTCTGGCCGTAATGATTACCTCAGCGTTTCCTGGCTGCCGGCGCCTGGAGACGTGGATAACTACGTGGTGAGCCTGTCCCACGACGGCAGGGTGGTTCAGTCCCTCAACATCGCCAAGACGGTCAGCGAGTGCTCCTTCAGCTCCCTCACTCCGGGCCGCCTCTACAACGTCACCGTAACCAGCAGGAGTGGCGATTACGCGAGCCGTTCCTTCAGCGAAGAACGGACAGGTAAGGATGCCGAGGTACAGGGCTCTGCAGACGCAGGCCAGCTGTGGGCCCTGAGCATCATGGACCTGCAGTGGTCCTGGGCGAAAGGCAGTTACCGTCGCAGAATTGCTCTGGAGGCTTCCTGTTTTAATTGGCAAGCGAGCAGATGTTACATTTATAGGGAAGACTGGCCTAGCCTTCATAGCTAGAATTCTTATTATATTTAAACAGGATAACAACTATTTCTGTTTGGGGGAGGGGGGATGCTTTTTGGTTACTGGATCACAGGTTCACATATATTAACTAATTAATCCTTGCACATTCCTTTCTGAGAGAAGTCATTATTCCCATTTTACAGATTAGGAAAACAAGTTTTAAGAAGGTTAAGAGGTCAAATCGCCCAGTTCTTTGTTATTGTCGTTTTGAGCAGCCAGGAAGTTTCAGATCTTGGACTTAAAGTTAGCTCCGCTTCAAGCCAGGGCCTAAAAAACCCTCGATTCGATAATCTTTCCCAAAATATGTGATGATCAAGACTACTGTGCGTTCTTTGAACACAAGGTAAAAATGTGGCCCTTTATAGTCCCTAGACTAGGGAGCAAAACTCTTAGCAGATGAACGCCAGCCAGGTCTTTGATGTGCTAGAAGGGACTAAATATAGACAACCACCATTTTCCCCATGTATTCCTGCTTTCTGGGGTTTACTTCTGAAATCTCTGCTTAAGGCTGACATCAATATTTTGTCAAGTCTTCCTTCCTGGGCTCCGGGTTGACTCTTGCACCTGAAACAGTTCTTTTTCCACGATCATCTGGGACAGTGATGTCACCCTGTTGGTGAGCTTTGATGCTGGGGCTGAATAGGAGCTTGGTACCTTCCTGGTCAATGAATCATCAAGGTTTCCCACCTGATCAGCCCTAGGGGGACTCCAGAAACACAGTAACCTCACGGTATAGAAGTTGTGAGGAGGAAAAAAAGTTGCAATTTCTTTCTATGTGTATTTTTAAAATTATGGCTGTCTTTGTGTGGACACATGCATGGGAGTGTGGGTGCTCAGGCAGTCTAGAGGAGGGTATGAAGGCCCCTGGAGCTGGAGTTGCTGGAGGTTGTGAGCCAGCTGCTGTGGGTGCTGGGAACCCAGCTTAGGTCCTCTCTGGGAGAGCAAAAGCATTCTTAACCACTTAGCCATTTGCAGTTCCTGGGTCTTCGAGGAGACGCTACATGGCTTCCTATATAGCTTTATTATAGAACGCTAGCATTGAAATGGTTCTCCTGTCTCCTCATTTGGTGATATTAAAAATCCCAAAGATGAAGAGTGGCGTTTTGAAGGTCGCGTGTCCGAACCATGGCAGGGTTCAGCCTTTACATCACGCCAAACTTAGAAGCACTAATTGGCAACAGAAATCATCTCTACCCTCAAATAACCTAAAGTTTAATTATGCTGATAATTACAATCATGACTTAGATCTGAAAAGCTGATTTTCACCTCCAGAATAACCTTATGTCAGCGCCTCCTATCGATCAACTCTGAGCCTAAAACTGACTAGAATTTAGGGCTCTATCTTCTAACTTTAACCTTAGGACTTCCATCCACCCACCTCATTAGCATTCCCTGTCCACATGACTCTAAGATTGCAAGGTGTTTTGCTAAGATTTTCTTCCCAAATGTGAGAAAAGCTATTTTCTGCTCAAAGCAGCATCTTGACTCTTTGACCAGCCTGAACTTGGATTTGGTGCGCCAATGACAAAAAGCCAATGACTCTAACTGGAGTTGTGCCTGAGTTATTGTCATGCTGATCTGGGCTGGCTGCCTTAATGCTCTTTAACTTCTCTAATGCTCTTCTTCCCCATTAGGCTGAACAGACCAATGCTTCTAATCCCGTGTCACGTCCTCTGGCCGTGCGTTAAAGCGGTTCTCACAAATGACTTCCAGTTCCACCTGGAGAGCCCCTTATTGACTTAGCGTCACGCTCAGCTACTTCTTCTTCCCGTAGTCATTGCTTTGCCTTCGGTAAATTGCCTGGATCACTGAAAGTTCTTAGTCTGTGCATATAGTGCCGTTTCAGAATTTCTCGTGTCCTCGGTGGCTAAATGCTAACAGAAATGTAATTGGTTTCAAGTAAAGGCCTCTCTTTGTTCCAGACCTGTGACGCACTATGTTCTAATGTAAAACTGGTCGGTAACGATAATCCAACAAAAGATATTAATACAACCTGTGTAAAAGCATCATGGTTTAGGTGGCAGAATGATGGAATTTCTGGCTGTTTTATGATTTGGGAGAGAGTAGAAGAAAAAGAACCTGGAGCTTGGTGTGTGCCCAAGCAGACATGCTGTGACATAAACCAAACTCCTACAGGCATAGAAGTGTTCAAAAGAGCTAAAAGAGACAGCTAATTAGAGCAGATGCTCAGTTCTTGGGGTCAAGCACAGTCTCTTTTCAACGCTTCTTCCTGTGAGTCTCCATGTCTGGTCCTAGTAGGACAGAAGCAGACACTGTAGCTGGGGAGGTGGCTCAGTCAGTAAAATGACTGCCATGCAGGCATAAGGACCTGAGTGTGAATCTCCAGCACACACATAAAAGCCTGGCATGGTGCCACACATCTATCATAGTAGCATTTTGGGTCTGTGCTGGAGAAGGCAGAGACAAGCAAGTAGGTGCTCATGGGCCAGCTGGACCAGCCAGCTCAGCCAACCTGACAAACTAGGTTCAGTGAATGACCCTCTCTCAAAAATAAGGTGGAGAACAATCAAGGAAAATGTCCATCTCTGGCCTCTGATTCACACAGGCACCGCATAGCATGTATATACACTTACACAAGAGAACTTGTAATTTATTACTGAATCAAAACTCAGCCCTGAATTGAAAACTAGACCATCCTTAATATCACAATTGCCTCACCACAGTGTTCCTAGTAAAATTCATTTTCCTGTTAACGGAGAAGAAAAACATCGGCTCATGGAACCATTTGTTTATATATCTATTGGAAGCAGTCTCGGGTTTACAAAATAGCATTAGTCATAATTCTTGCTTAAAAAAAACACACGCACACACACATCAATTTACACTTTGATTTTCCTAGGCATCTAGGTAGGAATTTTTACAAATTTAAAAAGGCATGAGACTGCTGCCTAAAATAAAAGCTAGCTAGGACTTTGACAGTAATCTGTATCCGATCACATGGTTTGTGCCTGACTAATCCATCCCACGATAGCCAGTGTCTTGACTCATCAAGTTCATCTCTTCCTTGAATAGCTTTGCTTATGTACAATCCTAGTGTAATAAGGTTTTAATTTTTTCAGTTGTTTTAACATGCAAAGGCATTTTTATGTATGTGATCTTTGAGGGATTTAAATTTTCAAAGTTATTGTTACATTGCTTAGAGTCACCCATAGTTCATATTTTGATATTCAAAGCAAGAGACCCAAATTTTTGTGTTTCAAGTTAATAAAAAAAAAATTAATAGTGTAATATTTCATTGTGTATGCACAACAGCTCATTGTCCGGCCTCTTTTGAAGGATAAGAAGGATAGATACCCTTTTTCATAGCTTTGCCTGCTTTCTATTTTGCCAAAGGAATACAGAATACCATCGCATTAGGGTCTGAGTCTGAGTTTCTTGGATGACTAGTGACTCAGAACATAACTTTGTATATGTTCTCATACGTGTTTCCTTTTTCTCCATTTTTCTTTTGAGTTTTTTTTTTTTTGGGGGGGAGGGCCTTTCTTGGTAACTTGAGTCACCAAGGTATGATGTGATTATTAATATCTGGATCGTCCTTTGTATTAGGCACTAGTTATTATGGTTATGTTCCATCTTATAAGAGACATTCTGTTGTCATTTAGTAGGTTAGAATGTATTCATCGTGTTTTTTACCAAGAGATCATTTTAAGGAATGTAAACACCTTTCCCCTTTGTGGTCTATAGTTCTGAGATTTACCTTTTAAATGCACACGATAAAAACTGTCTTCTGTGCTTCACTGTTTCGGGTGGTCATCTGTGATCACCTGCTCTCCTGGAATCACTAACACTTCAACTGTTCTCTTTTCCAGTGCCTGACAAGGTCCAAGGAATCAGTGTCAGCAACTCAGCCAGGAGCGACTACCTAAAGGTGTCCTGGGTACATGCCACTGGAGACTTTGATCACTATCAAGTTACCATCAGAAACAAAAACAACCTCATTCAAACCAAAATCATTCCCAAGTCAGAAAACGAGTGTATATTTGTTCAGCTCATCCCTGGACGCCTGTACAGTGTCACTGTCAGTACAAAAAGTGGACAATATGAAGCCAGTGAACAAGGGAATGGGAGAACGAGTAAGTGGAGGGGTCATCAGAAGGTCACGTGGCTGGACTTGATGGTCACTGAGTTTGCACTAAGTTCATGCAAACCCTGAGTTTTCTGTACTTCCTGATTCGTCAGTTATAGGCCCAATAACTCTCACCTGGAGCTTGTATCATTCAGCCAAGCAATGACTTGCAATCACAGAATATTTATTGGTAGATAAAAGCAAATATGGTGAGGGAGGAAGAAAAAAAAAAAAAACAAGTGTTTCATTTTTCTTCCCTGTCTTCTTGCATCAAGGCATTAAAATTCTAGACATCCTGTTTTATCTTCTGATTGAGATCATAACTCATTTTATAATTATATCCTACCAACATATAGCATAGAAGATTTATGTCAGGGGGAAAAAAATCACAACTTAAGTAGTAGCTTTCAATTTTTCTTGTTTAATTTTGCATGAAGTAATTCAAGGTTTTTCGGGGGGAGAGAGATGTTTGGCAGTTCCTTGAGTGTGAGTCACGAACTATGCAGGTAAACTTGATCAGCCCCTTTCCTAAAATAGCTTCTCCTCTCTCTCCCCAGTGCCGGAGCCTGTCAAGAGCCTCACACTCCTCAACAGGAGCACCGAGGATCTCCACGTGACATGGTCAAGAGCCAGTGGGGACGTCGACCAGTACGAGGTCCAGCTGCTCTTCAACGACATGAAAGTCTTTCCACCCATTCACCTCGTAAACACCGCCACCGAGTACCAGTTCACCGCGCTCACCCCGGGGCGCCATTACAAAATCCTTGTCCTGACCGTCAGTGGCGACGTCCAGCAGTCAGCCTTCATCGAGGGCCTCACCGGTAATTTGCAGTACTGTTCTTGAGCCTGAGTGGATGCAGTGTTGTATTTGACATGTTTGATAGTACAGGTGTTTAGATTAAGACTTGGAGAAATGAGAGACCGCAAGGAGCAGAAAGCTGTCCTGACTGTGACAACCCCCGTGGTTAACATGGAGGTGGCAAGGAAACTTCCAGAGGAATAACATTGAATGGGCGTGCCTCGCTGGGGCTTCTGGGGCACTCAGATTATATCATAGGTTTAATAAACAACTCTCCTGATGGGGCACCAGTTCTTTGGAATTTAGGAGGGATCACATTTTAATAATACAAGTTGACAGCTTATTGGGGGATGGGGCAGCCCCACAGCAGAGTATATTCTGTCCAGTCTTCTCAACCCTATGACTCGTTACTATAATCACCATTGGCATTTTTCTTATGCACAAATGTATGGAGATTAAATAATGTCCCTATTATGGCATAGCTAGTAAATAAGAAAGCCAAGTCTAGCCCTCAATATATGGCTACCATTTTCATTTCTCTTCGTTGGTCTTGATCTCTCCCTGAACTTTCTCTCTTTAACCTCTGTTTGGGCAGAAGAGTCAGAAAAATAAAAAGGCAAATTTGTACCTTTTTTTTTCACACACACCCTTTCACTAAATGGTAAAATGTTAAAAAGCAATTTTAACGTTTTTAACACAACCTGGGGAGATGCTAGGGAGGGGACCCAAGGCCTCATATGATAGGCAAGTGTCATAGCGCTGAGCCACACCCCCAGCCGGGCTTGGAAACGTTAGTTAAATATCCCCATTGTTCATTTCTTAAGTGATGTTTTCTTAAGTTTGTTTTCTCTTTCAGTTCCCAGTACTGTCAAGAATGTTCACGTTTCTGCCAACGGAGCCACAGATAGGTTGATGGTAACCTGGACCCCAGGCGGGGGAGACATGGACTCCTACGTGGTGTCAGCATTCAGGCAGAACGAGAAGGTTGAATCTCAGACTATCCCCAAGCACATCTCTGAGCACGTTTTCCACAGACTGGAAGCCGGAGCCAAATACAGGATTGTCATTGCTTCTGTCAGTGGGTCCCTGAGCAACCAGGTGGACGCGCTCGGGCAGACAGGTAAGCCCCTAGCTGGCAGGAACCCAGATAATAGAGGGCGCCCCGATTCTCCACAGTGGAACCACGTACGAATGGGTCTAATTTAAAACTGCACATGAAAGTCTGATTTAAAGATGCCTACAATTTGCAGCAGTTTCAAGAGCATCCCTCATCTTTGCTTCGTATGCTCTTGTCTTGATAGAGATTTTCTTTAAAATAATTAAGTGTGATGGGGGAAATGTATACCTGCTAAAAAAAAAAAAAAAGGATGTTTCAAAATTTATGTATAGACAGAAGTCTTTGTAACTATGCACTTTTCAGACTTTTTTTTTCAAAAAATTCAAAAATTTTAGGGAATGAAAGTGCAATTGTGCGCTGTGAGTTTAGAAAAATTTTCCTCAGTTGAGTGCTTTGCTCTAAGCGGTTGAGCCTGAGTTTTTCTTGCTCTTCTTGTTTCTTTGAAGTTCCAGCGTCCGTCCAGGGGGTCGTTGCAGACAATGCGTACAGCAGTAACTCCCTGACAGTGAGTTGGCAGAAAGCTGTCGGCGTGGCGGAAAGATACGACATCCTGCTTCTGAATGAGAACGGGCTTCTTTTGAGCAACACGTCAGAGGCAGCTACCGCCAAGCAGCACAAATTTGAAGAGCTAACGCCCGGCAAAAAATACAAGATGCAGATCGTAACTGTCAGCGGAGGACTCTCTAGTAAGGCAGCCCAGGCTGAAGGCCGGACGGGTGAGTGACACAGCTTCCTGCCTTGGGCCAGCTCCCTCCTTGTCTGCTGTGGTGTGGACACTGGAAGGTGAGAGAGTGAGGCCATGCTGGGGGAAGGGTATGTCACTCTAGTCACATTCATCCTTATTTCACAGTCCCACATGAGCCAGCCAAGCCACATGGGTTTTAGCCCGCCATACTCCAATTCTGTCTCGTCATTAAAACCGGCACCATCAGTTGACTGTGGCCGAAGCCTACTTTGCTACAAACTTGACCATTTGAAATGGTGCAAAGGTACTAGCATATAGCCCTCCTCAAAGTTAGAAACTGGAACTGAAATAAGATGTCATGTGGTGTCAACAGCCTTTCGAAGTTCTTCAGGGAGTAATCCACTCACTCCATGCCTTTTTCACGTCCCTTGGCCCGTAGTGTGGCCCAGTAATGATGTCATTTCAATCTCTAGATCTGACTCTCTGATCTTCTGCATCCTCCAACCTTTGAGGACTCTTGTGCCAGGACTCTGTATTTTCCAATGGTCTTATGTGACTGCTGTGAAAGGGTCATTTTGTCTCCCAAAGGAGTCATGACCCACAGGTTGAGACTCATGATCTTGAAAAAGATAGCTCTATCTAGTCCCACTATCTTTGTACAATGTAACACTGAAAGTCTTACTCAGAGAAAGTTGGCAAGACAAAGAACTGAGAGGAAAAACAACACAAGTAGGATGAGAGAACATTGAATTATCACTGCTTGTGGATATGATTTATCTCACACATACACACACACACAAGAAAACCTATTGAGTCCACAGAAGCCTGTTAGAGCTGATAAACAAATTCAGTAAAATTCCAGGATGCAAAATCAGCATACAAAAATCAAAACATTTTTGTGCAACAATAACAAAATTCCTGAGAAGGAAATCATGAACAGAATACCGTTCACAATAGTTACAAAGAAAATAAAATGCCTAGAAAGTTACCTAAGAGAGTGAATGGCCTCTACAATGGTAATTATAGATCCCTCATAAAAAAAATTGAAAAATAAATACAAACACGAAAGTGGAAAGACCTTCCACACTAATGTATTATAAATATGAATATTACCAAAATATAAGTCACCTAAAGTGACTTACAGATTCAGTTCAGTGCCCATCAAGTTTCACAGAGCTAGAAAAACATTCTAAAATTAGCACAAAAGATGGCTAAGTAGCTACAGCAATCTTGAGTAAAAAGAACAAAGCTGGAAGTAGGATACTACTTGACCTTAAAATACACTGTAAATCTACAGTAATCAAAACAGCATTACAGCGCCATAAGGAACAGTCATTCTAATCAACGGATTACAGTGGAGCATTCAGAAATAATCTCACATATTTGAGGCCAACTGATTCTTAACAATGGTGCCAAAACCATTACTGGATAAAAGGCTACAACCCCTTCAATAAATAGTGTTTAAAAGCTGTTCAAGTTCAGTGGCACACGCCTGTAATTCCAGCACTCAGGGAGGCAGAGGTAGGTGGACCACTATGAGTTCAAGGCCAGCCTGGTCTACATAGTGAGTCCAGGACAGCCAAAGCTACAAAAAAAAAAAAAAAAAAAAAACCAAAAAAACAAAACAAAACAAAACAAAAAAACAACAACTCAAAATGGATCAAAGGCCTAAGGTTTGTTTGTTTCTTTGTTTGTTTCTGAGACAGGGTCTTACTATGTTGACTAGCTGGTCTCGTTAAAAGCATACACACCATAGCTTAGTTGTAAGACCTGAAAGTATCAAGACAACAGGAAAACACTTCAAGCCATCAGTGTGTCCAGTTACAATTGCCAGCAGGGGCAAGGGTGGGCACGTTATAGCAAACAGAAAGGCTTCTGTGCAACAAAGTCAAGCAGCCACCAGAAGGAAGAGGCAACCAAAAGAACTGGGCAAATGTTGGGGACCCTGTTTGCCTCACAAAGTTATTTTCATCCAGAATGTATAATGAATTCCAATATCTAATAGCAAATTATTTGAGTTATAGTGGACAAAGGATGATGAGATGGTGGTTGGGTTGGATTGGCTTTTGTGTGTGTTGGAGTGGAGGTTACTGTGTGCTTGATTTTTGTTTTGAGACAGGGTTTTCCAAATAGCTATGGCTAGCCTATGTCAGCCCACCCCACTGACCATAATGGTTCAGACCTTGGGTAAGCCTCTTACCACAGCCTCCTAAGAGCTGAGGTTTCAAGCATGCACCACCATGCCCACCAAAGTGTGCTTGTAGAATTCATGTGGCCAATAAACTTATGGTGGAAAAGATGCTTAGGTTTATTCAACATCTGGAAACGCTGCAGGTCAAAACCCCAGTGAAAAACCTAACCCATGTCATTTTTAGAGTGATTTGGGTTTTTCCTGTTGTTTTTCTTTCTCATACCTACTGTTAGCTTTCCCTCTCTGCACATCCACTCCTCTTCCTTAGGGCCTCCCCTCTGCAGTCTAGTAATCATCTCTGAGTCCTCTGCTAGCACTCAGAGGTAATCTTTTGATCTTTACTCTAATGGACATCAGAAAAATACTTAGATGCACAGATCAAATCAACTTTTATTCTGTATCTTAAATGTGTCTATGGCGGTAATTTCCCACCATTGTTTCCTGTCCTCTTGTGGCCCTTTTGTAAACTAAATGGTTTGGCATCAGTAAATCACAAACTTCCTATTTCTTTAGTTTTGGGGATCCATGTCTTTGCTGTTCCCTTCGGGCAGGGAGTAAGATTTATCGATGGGCGTTCAGTAACAAAACACGGTCCTGAACACCGTGAACAGGCTTGTGCTTGACCCCACAGCCACCAAGGATGGAGCAGTGTCTCAGCTGCCATGCGCATCTTCAGATTCATAGGCCTTCGCCTTGACCAAGCTCCCTGAGGTGTAGACCCTCTGGCGGCCGTGGAATTTGCAAGCATGGCTCTCCATTCTCGATCGCGTGCTCCTTCTCCTGCAGCGCGATACACAGGGACAGTGATGGGGCAATAGGAACTCTGGCCATGGTGCCGGAAGGCAGTGAGTGGTTTGCTCAGCCCTCCTGATGCTGCGACCCTTTAACCCAGTTCCTCACGCTGTGGTGACCCCCCCTCCCCTGACCATAAAATTATTTTCATTGTTACTTTGAAACGGGCATTTTGCTACTGCTGTGAACTGCAATGTAAATATCTCATATCCAGGGTATCAGATATGCTACCCTTGTGGGGGTCGTGACCCACAGGTTGAGAACCACTGCCCCCCAAAGCACATGAAATTCTTGTCTGGAGCACAGACAAAATAAGAGACAGACACACGTCAGCTGAAAAGGGCAGTCACCAAAGCCTCTCAGGGGAGCCCGTACTAGGAAGCCGTTGTTTGCATCTATCGAAAGCCGACTACCCTAAAAGCAGGATGTTAGGTTTGGGGTTGAATGTGTCCATGAAGGGTGTCAGTCCTGGTCTGTGTCTGGGATCCAAAATCGCTGACCCACCCTCCTGTCCCTTGACTCTCCAGTCCCAGCAGCTGTCACCAACCTGAGGCTCACAGAGAACTCCACCAGACACCTGTCCTTCAGCTGGACCGCCTCGCAGGGCGAGCTCAGCTGGTACAACATCTTTCTGTACAACCCGGACAGAACGCTTCAGGAAAGGGCTCAAGTTGACCCGCTGGTGCAGAGCTTCTCTTTCCAGAACTTGCTACAAGGCCGCATGTACAAGATGGTGATTGTGACACACAGTGGGGAGCTGTCCAACGAGTCCTTTATATTCGGCAGAACAGGTAGGACCCAGGCTTAAACAGTAACGGGTGGCAAGGGAGGTGCCGTCACAGCCATTGGCTCAGCCTTGACTTGTTCTTCTTGCCCGTTCTGTCCAGAGCGGAGCTTTAGGTGACTGTGTGTGATTGAAACCTTTGTTCCTAACTTGGAGTAGGGATGAGTTGTGTCCTCCTCATTCCATGGGCTTCTGTTCCTTTGCCTCTGTTTAGTTATCTAACGGGGTTTGTGGAAAATTACCCCTGCTCCTCTAGTGGCCCTAGTCAAACTACCCCCTGCAATTTCCTATGAGGAATAGATGGAGGGCAGAGCAGGTCCAAGGGGGTGAACTACAAATCACACACACACACTCACTCACACTGACTGACCACTGTGGTCAGTCAGAAAATGATGTAACTGAGAAGCTAACGGTAGACTCAGAGGATGGTTACAGGATGGTGGCTGTCAGAGTGGTGAGTCAGTCTAGAAGAAGCTGAGACCGTTTTCTGGATCTTTTAGAAGCTAACCAGCACATTGCTGCCTAACTAACAGCCACTGAATGGTCCATTATGAAGAACCACCACCTGCTTTGACTTGTTTTAATTTGTACCATTACTATCCGATATGAGCCCAGCGTGAGCACTCTGAACCATCGGCGAGAACCCGATGGTTCAGAGTCCACAGTGCAGGCAACTGGACCATGGGCCCAGCCCAGCTCAGGCTCTCACCTGTGGCTCAGCATAGTTTTGCACCTGTTCTGTCCTCAGCGTGAGTTTTTCTCCTTCTCAGTCCCAGCTGCCGTGAATCATCTCAGAGGATCCAATCGGAACATGACAGACAGCCTTTGGTTCAGCTGGAGCCCGGCCTCCGGGGACTTTGACTTCTACGAGCTGATTCTCTACAACCCCAATGGCACGAAGAAGGAGAGCTGGAAGGACAAGGGCCTGACAGAGTGGCGCTTTCAAGGTCTCGTTCCTGGAAGGAAATACACGCTGTGTGTGGTGACGCACAGTGGGGACCTCAGCAATCAAGTCACAGGGGAGGGCAGAACAGGTAAGAAGCCCAGTCAAATGCTGAGAAGCGCTTTAATTATGATTTGAGGGATAAGATGGTTTGGGGGGTAGAGCGACTTGCTGCTCAAGCATGAGGAGCTAGGTTCAAATCCCCAGGACCCAAGTAAAGTGGAGCTTGAAAGCATATGTCTGTAATCCCCCCATCCCCTCCTAAGGCATGATGGGAGGTGGGGACATGAGTAGCTTGTAGACAGACAGTCTGGCCTACACAGGGGCAGACACAGAAGAAACCAGGCCTCAGTCAAGGTAGAACGCAAATATCCGAAGTTGTCCTCTGACCTTCATACATGCACCATGAGATGTATACATGCTCTCATGTGCTCTCTCTCTCACATACACACAAAGACACACAAGCACACATGTACACACACATGTACACACACACACAAAAAGGAGAGAGATGGGCACATGCTCACACATAATGCACACAATGAGAAAACAAAACCAAGATATGCTTTGTGGAAAAAGCACCAGGTTCTTAATTTTGGGCTGTCACTCACGTGCAAGAAGACCATTGAGCATCTCAGCCTCCATTTTCAGGTAGAAAAAATGAGGACAACTAATGCATCACCATTGTGTTGCGATGGAGTAGTCTCTTCTGTGTGCTATTTTGCCTCTCATGCACACAGATAATCTCTGTATCCCGCCTTGAAGTCAGTTCCCAAGATTCTCTAAAACTGGACAGAACTCTCTCTGAGCTCCAGCCCTACTGCTTTCCAATACGGTGGAATGCTTTCCTAAACACGTAACACACCCAGGACACACTCCTGCTCTGTAGCACTCTAGTCAGGAGGCTATGGTTACGAATAGTTAAGAAAAGGCATATAAAATGCTAGATAGTGCCTTATACAGGAGAGTTTCTATAAAAGAAAGTGTCTACACCTATCGCTATGTTATCTCTCTGTACGTTAAAGCAGATCTGATGTCCAGTTCAGTGCTCTCATTCCGTTATGTCACAAATCTGACTGTGTGGCTTTCCCTTTTATTTTATGTATAGCCCCAAGTCCCCCCAGTCTCTTGTCATTTGCTGATGTTGCGAACACTTCCTTGGCCATCACCTGGAAGGGACCCCCAGACTGGACAGATTACAACGACTTTGAGCTGCAGTGGCTCCCTGGAGATGCGCTGACAGTCTTCAACCCCTACAGCAGCAGAAAGTCAGAAGGACGCATTGTGTATGGGCTTCGCCCAGGGAGGTCCTATCAGTTCAGCGTCAAGACTGTCAGCGGAGATTCCTGGAAAACCTACAGCAAACCAATTTCTGGGTCTGTGAGGACAAGTACGGCTTGTTTCGCTTATCTTGGGTTTCCGATGGGATGAGAGGACCATCTTATTACAGTGGGGCTTGAGTTGAATGCACAGTTTAGTTTGAGATGGCTAGACTTGGATTCGGGTAGACGTCTCCTTTGATTTCTTTATTCATCCAGCATTAAGAGCAATACTCAACAAAGAAGTGATCCCTGTCCCCGTGGAGCTTTGGCAGACAGGACTGTCATTGAAAGAAAGTTGCATTTTGGGTGTGAAAGGGAAATAAATGTCACTGAATTCATGTCAGAGGCACTTGACCCAAAACAAGGAGGCTTCCTGAAAGAAGAAACATCTAAATTGAAACGTACAGAGAACAGAATTCACCGGGTACAGGTGAAAAAAAGAAGTGGAGAATAGGTAGAGAAAATAAAACACTGGAAGACCCTGGGGGAGGAGAGAGAAATGTGGCAACATTCTCTCTCCAGGAGCAGAGTGAAGTTTAATTGGGCAGAGAATGAGCATGAAGAAGAAAGGAGCCCAAATGGCTTATTTGCCAGGCTTTCAATGTGGGGCTTCACACGAAGTCAGGCTGCCCTAAACCCACAGAGACACCGCAGCCATATTTAGGTTTTAGAAACTTACTCTGAGTAGAAAATAGACTGATAGATTCCTTCCAGGTTTCCAGGAGAGACTGGAAGAAGGAGATGGAAGTTAGCATGCTAGCACTTGGAGGATAACGAGTCACCGAAGTTATTTCTCAGCCTCACATTCAGCAGTGTTTATGGAGTAATGACTCTGCCAGCCAGGGTTCCAGGTGGCTGTCCATGTTTCCAGCCTGAGATCTTTGCAATAACTGTATGAAGTAGTTTGCACAGATGGGTTGTAGAGGTGGGAAGTCGTTTACTTGTCCAGACGTGTTGGTAAAGACTTTGCATTCAGGTTGGGGTCTCGCCTCACCTTCTGTCTAGCCAGTTCCAGTGTGCTCACAGATGTTTTTCCAAGCATTCTGGTGATTTCTCTAAAGGGGCAGTGCTTTCACTTTCAGTGGGCAGTTTCAGCGTTGTATTGTTTTGGTTTGGGTTTGCAATGTGGAAGAGAGAACTCTTGGCTTCACATGTGCCAGCCAAGTGCTAAATTACCTAGCTACATCCTGAGCTACATTTTAAACTATTTCTTTTACATTTATTTGTTTATCTATCTATTTACTTTTGTGTGTGCTCTCATGAGTGTGCATGTGTGTGCACGCCACAGCACACATGTGTGTGGAGATCAGAGGACAACCTGGGGAAGTCATTTGTCCTTCTGATCATGTAGATTGCAGGGACTAAACTCCAGCCATCAGGCTTGCTGGCTAGTCCCTTTACCTACTGAGCCATCTCCCTGGCCCTGTTTCTCTCTCTCTCTCTTTCTCTCTCTTTCTCTCTCTCTCTCTCTCTCTCTCTCTCTCTCTCTCTCTCTTGTCTTTTAAGACAAGGTTTCTCTGTGTAGCTCTGTCCATCCTGGAACTCACTCTGTAGACGAGGCTGGCCTTGAACTCACAAAGCTCAGCCTTCCTTTGCCTCCCAAGTGCTGGGATTAAAGGCATGTAGCACCATAGCCCAACTTAAACAGTATTTTTTTTCAGAGTGCAGTCTAATAGCCAGCCAGAAATTTTCCTGAAAGATCTTTAAAGATATCTTCCCTAAAAAGCAATTCAGTAAATTGCGGAGACTGTCTGTTTACATCTTAGACGGTTATCCCCAAAAGTGCCGGAGGAAATGTCCACAGCGCTGAATTGTGTCTCTTCCCCTTGCACCTACAGAGCCAGACAAGATACAAAACCTGCACTGCCGCCCTCAGAACTCGACGGCCATTGCCTGTTCTTGGATACCACCTGATTCCGACTTTGATGGCTATAGCATTGAATGTCGAAAAATGGATACCCAAGAAATTGAGTTTTCCAGAAAGCTAGAGAAAGAAAAATCTCTCCTCAACATCATGATGTTAGTGCCTCATAAGAGGTACCTGGTGTCCATCAAGGTGCAGTCGGCCGGGGTGACCAGTGAGGTGGTTGAAGATAGCACCATCACTATGATAGACCGTAAGTGTTCCCAAAGGTCTGCACTCGAGCTCCTGTCACACAGGGTAGAAGGCTTTGCATCTCCATCTCTCTCAGTCATTTCCATCACTCCCATTCCCTTGCCCACAGTCCATATATATATAACCCTGTCTTGTTATTACATGGAGCAGAGGATCAAATGGCTCCAGGAAACATCGACTTTTCTCTGAGTAGAGTTCTCCATAACTAACAAGTCAATGTTAACGTGCGCGAACGAGTCGGGATTTAAGTGCCTCATCCAGTTATCTAGAACTGGTGGAGCTCTTAAGGAACTTAATGCTACAGCCCGAGAAAATCCTGCAGAAAAGACGCCCCTTTTGTTAGCCTCTTTCAGACTTCACCTCTCTGATCTGTTCAGGAGGAGAGAGTACCCCTATGACCCTTCTTGGCTCCCCACCTCTTTTTCTAGGCCCTCCTCCACCGCCTCCGCACATCCGTGTGAATGAAAAGGATGTGCTGATCAGCAAATCTTCCATCAACTTCACCGTCAACTGTAGCTGGTTCAGTGACACCAACGGAGCTGTGAAATACTTCGCAGTGGTGGTGAGAGAGGCTGACGGTAAGTAATGACAAACCGATGAACTCGGAGACACAGAGCTTCCTTCTTAAAGGTCATGTGAGGGATCCTTTGACAACAAGTTTGAAGAGTAGAAAATTAAGTTTTCAAACTCAGTTCTGTCTCTGCGAGATACAAGGAGATAGTTACAAGCAAAGCTGCCCAGAGGCTCTTGGCAACGAAGCCTGTTATAAAGGGTCTACAGATACGCCTGTTCTAAAGATAACCCTGTCATCTTTGGGCATAAAGGAGAATTTAAAAATAACAAAACAATAACCATTGAGCTAAACAGAGTTGCCCACACTTGAAGAAGCCAGCCCTCAAGCTGAGACAGAAGGGCTATTTAAGTTTAAGGCCATCGTGTGCTATGTAACAAAAGCAATTAAAAAAAAGTACAATCCGTTTTTAGAGCACTTACTATTTCCCAAGCAATATTGGAAATGAAATACCATCTTGGCTACCTACCAATTTTATTCACTCTTTTTTTTTTTTCATAATTCTGCATTTAAGTAGCAATCTACCTCAAGATCATTTATCTCTTTGTCCCAAATGCCTCTGACAGCCAGATACTCCCAAACTATGCATCAATTCTCAAAACTTCCCAAAAGCTTACAAGGGATAAATGATGTTCATTTGAAATATCACTCTTTTACAGAGTTTGTTTTTCTGAATTCCGTTTGCTTGATCTTACTGTTGCTTGTTTTGAGTGGCAGGCTTTTTCTTTTTCTTTTTTTTTTTTTCGTGTGTGTGTGTGTGTGTGTGTGTGTGTGTGTGTGTGTGTGTGTGTCAATACGATCTTTCCCACACTTTGTAGCCCAGGCTGACCTGAAACTCATGAGTCTTCTGCCTCAGTTTCCTCAGGGCTGGGATTACAGACATGCAATTACCAGACCCAAATCTTAAACTTTTTTATTAAATGTATTTATTCACTTTACATGGTGATCAAAGCCCCCTCTCTCCTCCCATCCCACCCACTTCCCTTTTTTTTTTCCCCCCTTCTCAGAAAAGGAGATTCCTACCCCCTCCCCACTCCTGTACCAACCCAACCTGACACACCAAGTCAGATCAGGACTAAATGAATCCTCTTCCGCTGAGGCCAGACCAGGCAGCCCAGCTAGGGGAAAGTGATCCAAAAGCAGGCAACGGCCAACTCTTATTTTTTAGCAATGCATTTCATTATGCAGTTTTGTAGACTACGCAGGGACTACCCAGTTTCCACAGACTGGGCAAATGCTACGCAGTAACGGTCACACCAAGATACACACTGAATTGTGACCTTTGGAGTTTATTATTGACACATTCAGTCAAAGCACCTACAGGAGGTGTTGAACTGGAGGTACATGCACTCACTTGCTGTTAAGGCCCTAAGTGTTAATTCTGCAAAAGAGATTCCAGAGCACACAGTCTATTTCGCCTTCCTTATATTTCTCAGAATTATCTAAGGTGCTATACATAAATTTCTTAAGCATCTCTAACCAACTTTGGGCCATTTATAAGCAAAGGGAAATTTTTAAACATGACAAACACTTAGAACAATTTCTAGACTAAATGGTGTTCTAGTTTCACTGGATATTTAACAGTCTGTATGGTTTTACATTCTGTTTCATTGTACTAAATTGGTTATGCATAATTAATTAAATAATTTCAAGGGTCAATGGTGCATCCCTGATTTCCTCACACCCTGTAATTGGAGATAAATTTGTGAGCTGTGAACAGACTTTAATTAGGCGGCAATGAAGATAATGGGCTTCCACATGCATCTAGGGCAGTGACCAAAATCTCATACCCATAGAACCGCTGGCCCTGCGCTCCACAGCCAGGTGGGTCTCCGTTATCAATGTCCTCAGAGGTGAGGGATGGTCCCTAAGAACCCAAGATAACAAACCAGCCAGACACTCATCTTAAAGGCAATACTCATTTTCAGATATTGCCAGCAAAATGATATATCCATTTCAGGAAAGGTAAATTAATGCCAAAACAACCAGCCAAATACAGGAAGTCACCTCTCGTCTGGGACATATGTACACTGGTCCAAGGGAGCTCTACTGGCTAATGCCATGGAAGAAGGGATTTATAAAAGGACGGACCCAGGGAACATTTTGAAAGGTGCTTTGGGGTTTCAGTGGGGTCCTTAGGAAGAGAGTAGTAAAGTAGAACCCCGAAGTCCTTGTCTAGAACCTTTTTCTGATGAGACCGGATAAGCTAGGGTCACATGGAAGGGGAGGAGGACCTCCCCTATCAGACTAATAGAGGGACACAGGAGGAGATGATGGAGGGAGAGTGATATTGGGAGGGGAGGAGGGAGGAGACTATAGCTGGGATACAAAGTGAAAAACTGTAATTCATATAAAAATAAAAATGTAAAAAAAAAAAAACAGGTCCTCAGAATATGAGGACCTCAGTTCTTGGAATTATTCTCTTCTGGGAAATTCCTTCTCTACACACAAATCCCCAGATGTAATCATCAATAAAATACCAATAAATCAGTAAAAAATATTTCTAAGAGATACTCACTGTGAGCAGATCTTATTAAACAAAGTCCAAGGTGCTGTGACAAACCCATTTCTTAAAGGACATTGGAGGTAGAATCTCATCTCTATAATATTTCCCTTATTTATTTTTTATTATTAAATTTTTATTTTTTTATGTGAATTACAGTTTATTCACTTTGTATCCCAGCTGTAGCCCACTCCTTAATTCTCTCCCAATCCCACCCTCCTTCTCGAATCTCCTCCCATGCCCTTCTCCAAGTCCACTGATAGGGAAGGTCCTCCTCCCCTTCCATCTGACCCTAGCTTATTAGGTCTCATCAGGACTGGCTGCATTGTCCTTCTCTGTGGCCTGGCAAGGCTGCTCCCCCACCTCAGGGGGAGGTGATCAAAGAGCCAGACACTGAGTTCATGTCATAGACAGTCCCTGTTCCCATTACTAGGGAGCCCACTTGGATACTGAGATGCTATTGGCTACATCTGAGCAGGCGTTCTAAGTTATATCTATGGCTAGTCCTTGGTTGAAGTATCAGTCTCAGAAAAGTCTCCTGTGCCCACATTTTTTGGATCTGTTGTTCTCCTTGTGGAGCTCCTGTCCTCTCCAGGTCTTTCTATCTCCCCCTTCTTTCATATGATTCCCTGCACTCTGCCCAAAGTTTGGTTAAGAGTCTCAGCATCTGCTTTGATACACTGCAGGGTAGAGTCTTTCAGAGGCCATCTGTGGTAGTCTCCTGTCCTGTTTCCTGTTTTCTCCTTCTTCCAATGTCCATCCATTTGTCTTTCTGAATGAGGATTGATCATCTTACCTCCTTCTTGCTTAGCTTCTCTAGGTGTACAGATTTTAGTATGTTTATCCTATATTATATGTCTAATATCCACTTACAAATGAGTATATACCATGTGTGTCTTTCTGCTTCTTGGATACCTCACTCAGGATGATCTTTTCTAGATCCTACCATTTGCCCGCAAATTTCATGATTTCCTTGTTTTTAATTGCTGAGAGTATTCCATTGTGTAAATGTACCACTATTTCTCTATCCATTCCTCTGTTGAGGGACATTTGTAAATGGGACCTCATGAAATTGAAAAGCTTTTGTAAAGCAAAGGACACTATCATCAGAACAAAACGACAGCCTACAGACTGACAGAGGGCTAATATCCAGCATATATAAAGAACTAAAGAAGTTAAAAAGCAACAAATCAAGTAATCCAATTAAAAAATCCAAATAAAAAAATCCAATTAAAAAACAGAGAATTCTCAACAGAGAAATATAGAATGGCAGAGAAACACTTAAAGAAATGCTCAATATCCTTAGTCATTAGGGAGATTAAAATCAAGACAACCCTGAGATTTCACCTTTTACCCATCAGAATGGCTAAGATCAAAAACTCAAGTGACAATACATGCTGGAGAGGATATGGAGAAAGGGGAACCCTCCTCTAATGCTGGTGGGAATGTAAACTTGTACAACCACTTTGGAAATCAATCTGGCGTTTTCTCAGACAATTAGGAATAGTCTTCAAGATCCAGCCATACCACTCCTAGGCATATATCCAAAAGATACTCAAGTATACAACAAGGACATTTGCTCAACCATGTTTATTATTAATATTTTCCTTATTAATTATGATTTTTCCCTCAAGTAGCATCAAAAGTTCACAGTGCCCAAATACACAGGAGGCTGGGTGGAGAAGGAGGGCATTCTGGGAAGTGCTCAGAGCAAGCCAGGATTTGAGCCAGGATCCAATTGTACTCAAGATAACAGCAGCCTGTCACCTCTGGATCTGCATGTTGTCCTTGGGGGACAAGTGCTCTGCCTTGGGACATGATTTTTCTTATCTTTTCTCTGTCTCCCAGGTCATTCAAGCTTCTGCAAATACAGTCAGTTTGACAGGGTACAGAGATTAAGTAGCTTCCCTCTCTTGACGAGGAGTTACCAGTTATCTGGAGCTGTGGCACAATGTTATTATTTGATGTACCTGATTATTTGATACTCTAGAAAACTGATTGTGCATGTGTGTGATTATAAAATTATTTATATTCACCTAAGAAAAATAGTTTCATCGCATCTTTTGAGATCACAGAGTCTGTATCATGGGATAACAGAAGATAGTGGATGAACATATAGCCTTGGGGGTATAGCATTCCATACACACACACACACACACACACGTGTCTTTAACTGTGGGTCTTCTCCTGCAGGCATGGATGAGCTAAGACCAGAACAACAGCACCCTCTCCCTTCCTACCTGGAATACAGGCACAATGCTTCCGTTCATGTCTACCAGACCAATTATTTTGCCAGCAAATGTGCTGAAAGTCCCGAGAGCAGTTCTAAGAGCTTTAACATCAAGCTTGGAGGAGAGATGGACAGCCTTGGCGGCAAATGTGATCCCAGTCAGCAACACTTCTGTGATGGACCGCTGAAGCCACACACCGCCTACAGGTTAGACGCACTGCCATCATTTGCTAGAGAGATGTACCGCATTATGAGGTGCTCAGCTGCCTGAGCGCCTGCTACATATGAGCTCCTGAAGATTAATAGCCTACGCTGCAAGAGTACTCTATATTATAGAGGGTAATTTATAAAAGTTGGGCTCCTGCCTCCATTCACAGATAATGTGCAAAAAGGGTTTTCAACAGCATACAGAAGTTCCAACTCATTGTTTGAAGCACTGAGGGCTTTTAAAAGATCATTCCCCCCACCCCCCGCTACAACTGCTTAAGCATTTGTCAAGTAATTTACGATGCTCACTGTTGTGAAAATCTTCAAATAGACTTGAGTTTAGGCAGACCCAAACAATATGAAGTGCTATCATACACTTTTGAGACTGAAATTCTACTTCCTCTCGAAAGTGCGTAAATACAAAAGTGCTCTGGACCCAGACTGAAGGGAGCCCCGTTGAATAGGAACACCTGTTCTTCTCTCTGAGGGGCAGGTGAATGTGGCAGCTGTTAGCTGTTGGCTCCCAGAAAGCACAGCTGCAGCTAACAGACTTCCAGCCCTAGGAATGTGTGGCATTCTTATTCTGCATTGTGTTTCCAAAAGCAAACAGAGGCACCCCATCAGCATCCCCAAGAGAGAGGAAACCTATGCTCCTGTTTTGGAAGATAAGGCTGTAGACATTTTTTTTTTTTTTTTTTTTTTGGTTTTCTGAGAAAAGGTTTCTCTGTGTAGCCCTGGCTGTCCTGGACTTGCTTTGTTAGACCTGGCTGGCCTCAAACTCACAGAGATCTGTCTGCCTCTGCTTCCCTGAGTCCTGGGATTAAGGGCATGTGCCACCATACCTGGGGGGGGTAGCATACACACACCACACACACACACACACACACACACACACACAGAAATGCTGAACAAAGGAATGTTTCATCCTCTGCATGGAAGAGAATAGGACAGTGTGAGATTTCATTTTGCTATTCTGAATGGCATGCAGTTTAAAATTTAAAAATTATTTATTTCTGAAATTTTCCGTGTAACATTTTTGGGCCACAACTGACTAGGTAACTGAAATGGCACAGGGTGAATCGGCCAGAGGGGGCTACGGTACTGCATTCCACAAGAAAAGCAAGTAAGAAACTATGACGTTTATGTCTAGACCAGGGCCACCAATCTTCCAGCGGGTGCCAAGGCCCTCGGGAAAGCCCCACCATCTGAGCTCCAGCCCTGCTACTTTTTAGCTGTGTCATGCTATAAGCAGCATCCTAGCTCTCTAGTCTCCATCTGCACATTATCACAGAGTTGTTCTGAAGAGTCACGTATGGGACAGATCAAGCCTCGTCACACCACACCTGTGATTTCCACTCGTTTACAAGACCTCTCGATCCTACCATTTGCCCTCTAACCCCTCACTCCAACAAGCTTCTTGTAGCATGGCTCTCCTACATCTCTGAATCTTTGAAATTTGTTTTCGTCATCTTCGGGATGCTTTCCACTCCTGCTTATAAAGCCAGCTCACTCTTCAGCCAGCCCCATCCATACCTGCCATCCACAGCTGGCGGATAGATTTGCCCTTTGATTCACTGACAGCCCTTAGCCCTACATCCTTGAGTCCTGCATTTTTTTTCCCTCTACAGAATTACTTGCCCTCTTCTTTGGACTTTGGGGGTTCAGTGTAACTGGGGAGCTAGATGTGTCATTGATTACAATACACTGCAGCAAGTACTTGGCACAAAATTGCTCATAGAATGTTTACAAACAAAGGAACCAGCCAAGAGGAACCCTGAAGAGTTTCACATTCTTCAGCTTCATCAACTCAAAGTGCACACATTTGTTTTCTAGACCTCAGCACTCTTGTATTTTGTTGTTGTCGTTGTTTTACATGAGGAGGACAATGTAGCAGAGGGTTGGCAAGAGGAGATGTAACTTCTCAAAGCACGTCGAAGAACCACATAGAAAAGAGCCTGTGGTCAGAACTCTGCTGATCATCACCGTAGTGACACTTCGAGTTTGTTAGGCTTCTTCTTCTTCTTTTTTTTTTTTTTTAATTCCATGTTCATTCCTTATCAGTGGCACTCCATTGGACACATTGTATCTATGGGTTTGCTGTCTGATTTCCTCCATGGAATTAGAGTTTCTGAGATGGTAGGGATCTTGGTTTATTTTTTTTCCTCTTATCATCCTTATTATCAGTGAGTGACTGTATGAACCCATGTCTGATTTCATGATTCATCTGACCCTACATAGGAAACAACCAGCTACCCACCATTTCCCCTTGAACACAATCTTCAGCCCACCTTACTGTGCTCCAGCACTGATTTACATTTAAATGAACTTGTTTTCTTTCAGAATCAGTATCCGGGCTTTTACACAGCTATTTGATGAGGACTTGAAAGAGTTCACAAAACCTCTCTACTCAGATACATTTTTCTCCTTGCCCATCACCACTGAGTCAGGTAAGACTAACACTTCCAGCCAGTCACCGTGTTAACCACAAGAGCCTTTAGTGGGGAGGGGTGGGAAACTGCCGGATGGTGGGAGGCTATTCATGTTCCCTTGGATTTTAATTTCCACGCGACCGTGAGCTGATGTGGATCAGGGAGATTACACCAGTTCTATAAGACAGACCAGAAGGAGATTAATCTTCAGAGAAGGTGGAAGTACATGATGTTCTTCCACTAAAAAATGAATTTTCAAGTGAATGAAAAACATCAACATTAAGAGCTTACATGGATCAAAGTGTAAGTTGGCACAAAGGGCTCTTCGCTGTAGGTGGGACAGAAAATGCACATACAGAGTCAGTTCTCTGCGTCCACAGGTTCAACACTGTGACTCAAAAATATATTCAAGAGCTAAATTGTGTTTGTGCTAGTTTTAAACAAACTTTCTTTTCATGGCCATTGCTCTGTAAACCAACATAGCCTACCAGCTGCTGACACAGCATTCACATTACAAAGGTATTCTAAGTCAATGCAGAGGTGTCCTACAGCACAGAGGGGGCGTAGGGGTCGTATGCACCACCACTTAGGCATGGGAGTCTCGGAGACAGCTCCCCTCGAACACTATGGCCACGTGTGTGCATGTAAAAGAAGGGATGAGGAAAACCATTAAAGTATTAATTTGATATCCAACAATCGCAACGGCAAAGGTGATTTTTGTCTTCCTTTGGTTTGTTATGTTTTCTTTTACGTTATTTAAAAACTCTGGGCTGGTGAAATGGCTCAGTCAGTGAAGGGGCTTGCCTCCAAGCCTGACAACCTGAGCTTGAGCTCCCAGGATCCGCACAGGAAAGGAGAGGACCTCCCCATCTTGCACCGAGGCACACACAGCACACGTGCCCATGGAGCCCTTGCCTGCTACATGGAAGGGCCCAGATCCTATCCCCAGCACCACAAATAGCAACAATAATTTTAAAACCTCAGATGTAAATTTTAAAGACTTTGCATAAATGTTTGGAGGAAACTAGTGTCCTAAGTGTGAGGGACAGCTTGGGCAGTCATGGTGAGTGATCTTTGCTGGTCACCTCTTCGGCGATTCTGAAGCTATTGCCACCTCCGTTTCAAATATGGGAGACTGTGGTACCAAGAGGCTAAGCGAGTCGCCCAATCTGTTTCGGCTGGTATTTGGATGCAGTCAGTCACACTTTGTGGCCTCAGCACTGCCCTGCCTCTGATTATCTGCAGTGCGCTGAGAATCGCGTGACTCCCGTCAGCTTGTCCCTTGAAACATTGTCCCATGACACAACTTCCCTCATCTGGTTTGCCTCAGGGCTCGACTTTTCGGTCTGAGGACGTTGTGCTGCTCTCTCCTGCTGCACAATGAAGGGTCTGCCCAGCCCCCAGACCGTTCTATCTGTTCCTAGCAAACACAGGGATAAGCTCCTTTATCTCAGTCCAAAGATGGATCAGAAGCCAGCTAAGAGGATTTACATGTATTTGTCCATAATTTATTATTAAGTAGAGATTTTGTAAACACAATTCTTTCCTATCTGAACTATCATCATATAGAAAAAAAATTATGTAGTTCAGTGAAAGAAAGTGCTAAGCAAATATTCAAAGTGGAATCATAAGCACATTAAAAGGAAAATGATAGTGATGATTTGAGTAATAAAAGTCAGTATAGAGTAAACAGACCGAATGTGGGCGGCCCCACACAACTACACAGGAGAGGACGAATAGGAAGGCTTTCCAAAGAAAACGCAGGAGGAAATCGGTGTGACCCTGAGCTACGAAACGATTTTTTAGGTAAAATATCAAAAACATAGGAAAAAGAGAAGAAGATAAACTACTGGAGTTCACCAAAATGAAAGTCTTTTGTGTTTGAAAAGGCAGCATTTAACAACTGAGAAGATAACCCTCGGAAGAAGAGAGAAATGGTTGCAAATTGTTAATAGTCAATAAACTCCTATGTAGCAATTCAGCAATAAAGACAGCTGGTAGTTAAGAGCACTGGCTGCTCTTCCAGAGGCCCCGGGTTGGAGTCCCAGCACCTCCGTGGTGGCTTACAACAGTCCATATCTCCAGTTGCAAGGACTATGACACACTCTTCTGGGCTCTTCAGGCACCAGGTGCATACAGTGCCCATGCAGACATGCAGGTAAAACACTGTCCACATAAAAAGAAATAAACCATTAGAAATATGTTTAAATAAAATGAACAGAGGATCAAAACTGTTCCAAAGATGCTCAAGATGCTAAGAAGCAAATGAGCGCATTAGTGGTTAGTGCAGTGCCAGTCAAAACCACTGAAAGATGCTATGCGTTTACCACAAAAGGGCTGCTGGGTGAAGGGGGCCTCCCACATTGCTTGTAAGATGATAAAATAGGATAGCTGCTATAGAAGTGATTTTGCAGCGCCTGAAAATATACTGTCACATGACCCAACAATTCAACGTTTAAGTAAATACCCAAGAGAAATGAAAACATGTCCGCATAAAACCTCACATGGATATTCATAGCAGCATCCTTCAAAGTTCTAAAAAAGTAGACACAACTTGAACATACATCAGTGAATGAATAAACAATATATGATGTGTTCATGCAATGAAATGAACATGCAATGAAATGATTTTAGCTGTAAAAACTAATAACTCTTGATATATGTGATTTAGATAAGCCTTGAACACATTATGCTAAGTTAACAAAGCCAGTTACAAAAAGCCACCTATTTATGACTTAATTTCTATTAAATGTCCACAGTAGACATATCCATAGATAGGGAAAGTGAATTAACTATACCCAGGCTAGAGAAAAATGATAAATGGGAAATGACTAATAGATATGAGTCCACTTTGCTGGATATTAAAATGTTATCAAGTTATTTGTGGTAATATGTGCAAAATTACCAAAAACTATTGAATTCTGCCATTTAGATGGGGTGAATTATATGGTTTGTTAATTATAATTCAATAAAACTGAGGGATGTTGGTTGCGATGGTACAAGTTTGTAATCCAAAGTATCAGGATGCTAGCATAGGAAGAACAACTGAGCCTCAAAATCCAAGACAGGACCAATCTAGACACCATAGTAAGACCTTGTCACAGAATCTGAAAAGAGAGATGAGGAAGGGGTTGGGAGAGAGGAAAGAAGGTAGGCGCAGAGAGGGGGTAGGAAGGGAGGAGAAAGGGACGAAAAAAAAGAAAAATAAAGATAATAAACGTGAGATGTTGTCAAAATAACTTACTAATTGGCTGGAGTTTCTAAAACCCCAGGGACTGTATAATTCTTCACATAGAGGTCCATTAACAGTGTCACACAGCTCTATGAGTGATACATCATCAACTCCCAAAGTTGATAAACTTTACTCTGGAACCAACGTGACTAAAGCAGGACGTAGGCAACCCTTCATCTCAGCTGCCTGCTCATGGCCTTGGGAGAGTCAATACCTCACTGTGGGCATCTTGAATGGCACTAATAACAATGTTACCTAGGAAGACAGCTCTCCTAGCCATCAAAATGGTTTCTTGACACCAATTTTCTCTTCTTTTGTTGCTTGTTTCCATCTGGGTTATCACAGAGCCTCTGTTTGGAGTTATTGAAGGTGTGAGTGCTGGCCTGTTTCTAATTGGCATGCTGGTGGCCCTTGTTGCCTTCTTCATCTGCAGACAGAAAGTTAAGTAAGTACAAAGATGTCTTTAATGACCAGGCTCACAAATGTAGAGGTGCTACTAAAAATGTCCTTTAGCCTGAAAGGGGAAAATGGCTTCATTTCTCCAGATTAAATCACTATAGTTGGCTTAGTCCCTTAACAATAGGAGTAGGGGCTGCCTCTGACTCTTGCCTCCTGCTAGAGTCCCTTTCCACTAGCTGGTGTCCTTTGTCACTCCCTCCCTGGTGGGAGAGGATGCACTTACTCCTGCTGAGAGTTGTGGTGGTTTGGCACCCCTTTGAGGGTTTCCCCTTCTGTGGGAGGAGAGAGGGGGAACTAGGAGGAGAAGAGGGAGAGGGAAAAAAAAGAAGACGAAGAAAAAGAACAAGAATCAAAGTCTGAATCCAGGACTACCAGCTCTCCAGCTTTCCCATACACCAGTAATGAACAGGGCCCTCAGCAATGAATGAGAGGCCATCAATAAAGCTCCTTAAATATGAAACGAAATCCTTCTGTGCAGGCAGAACAGTGGAGGTGGTACATATCCTCATGAAGACAGAATTTTCCAAACTGTGTACCTGAAATGCCCCGAACAATATGGCTGACCTCGTCACCCTGGGATTTACTAGCCATGCTAATTTCAGAAAGAACTAAAAAGAACGAGAGAGCTAGCACACACTTTTCGCTTTTTCCCATCTCCTTTTCCCCTCTTAAAGAGATGTTGGCTAAGTGCAGACTTCTGTGGAATCTGGAGATTTCACATTTGCATGAGTGCACACAGCCTCACTATACACGGGGGAGAGGCAGCCAAAGTAATATAAATAAAATAAAGAAATCTGTGTCCTACGTTTCAGCCACGGCCGAGAAAGGCCATCTGCCCGCCTGAGCATTCGAAGGGACCGGCCTTTGTCTGTCCATTTAAATCTGGGCCAGAAAGGGTAAGTGCCAACGTTTTGTTTGCTCAGTTTACTGAAAGATGGAATTCTGTGAGATTTGCTAACAGGGTCCCTCTTTCTCTTTTGTCTGTCTCACAGCAACCGGAAAACTTCTTGGTAAGCGAAAAATGTATTAATTAATCTGCTTTTGAAATAAGGCTGGTTTATAACACTTTTCTCCGTTACTTCAGTAACTTCCTTTTCCTCTTGCTTTATTTTTAATTACAGCCCCATAAAGATAAATCAGTTTGAAGGACATTTCATGAAGCTCCAGGCTGACTCCAACTACCTTCTATCCAAGGAATATGAGGTACCACTTGGGCCCAGGGAAGATTTTGCTCTCCATTCGTAGACTCCCCTCTTGAATGTCACTGTGAACTCACAGTTGGGATGTTCAAGGTCTCAGCATAGCACTCCTGTTGGGCACGGCTCCCCGAACAGCATTCCACCTATTCTCAGAGGCCAGCTTGAGCTCAAACACATAGCAAAGTACTTTCTGGATCAGGTAGTAGGACAGAATGAACACGTTTGAACACGTTTCAACAGTGATGGTGTCAGTTCCACAGCCTGGACGTTTGCTTGTCTGGCAAACAAGGTAGTTTGGAAACGAGTACCCAGGCTCTGAACATGATTCCGGCACACGTGTCCCGAAGCACACATTTATCATCTCTAAGGCTCCTCTGTAGGATGGTCTTAGGAGCCCCTCCCACGTGGAGTCCTGGGATCAGAGTCCATGTGTATGGAATAGCTGTTCTGTAAATTCTAACTCATGTACACATCTTTAGTTATACTGTCTCTCTGGGTTGTATGAGTTGCCTTATTTTTGGTTTCATATTCTCCACTTGCAACCAGGACTTGAAAGACGTGGGTCGAAGCCAATCATGTGACATTGCCCTCTTGCCTGAGAATCGAGGGAAAAATCGGTATAACAACATATTGCCCTGTAAGTTTTGGATTGGAATTCATGATGCTATCACACAAAAGCCATGTGAACGATCACACTTGTGTGTGTGTGTGTGTGTGTGTGTGTGTGTGTGTGTGTGTGTGTGTGTATGTGTGTGTGTGTGTGTGTGTTGTGTGTAGAATACCTGGATATGTATGCTCTAGGGCCCTAAGGAACAATTCATGTGTTCCTGAACTTTTCTCACAAGGGTAATGGCTACCAGTTAGCAATCTGCCTTGTCCTTACTTTCCCTGGAGACTCAGAAATTTAGCAGAGTTCAGAGCAGGGCTCCAACAGACTCAGTTGGGTTCACTTTATAGTTTCTAGTCAGTTTGCTAGGTTTTTGCTGTTGTTGTTGTTCTTGTTTTTCTTTAAGAAAAGCAGCCTACCCCATCAGGGAATGCAATCAAAGGTGGTTTTTCTGGATACTATTCATTCCAGAAGTAGAAAAGAGCTAGCTGGCCACTGCATTAAGCAAGTGGAACGTTGCAAAAATAAAACCACCGCTGGGGATTCACAATGTCTCTTGTGCCCATTATTTGTGAGCCAACTGTGTGTCACATGCCCAGAGTTAGCTACCCTGTCGGAGCCCCACCTATTAAACAGAGATAGGAACGCTTCTCCTGAGGCTGCCCTGCGGATCGGAGATAAAGCAATCTTAATATCACATTGCATGAATGAGAAATTGACCCCAAGGCACAGCAGCACATCTTTCAATAACTCTCCTTGCAGACGATGCCTCAAGAGTGAAGCTGTCCAATGTGGACGATGACCCATGCTCTGACTACATCAATGCCAGCTACATCCCTGTAAGTGAACTTCCGGGTCACAGTGCCCAGGATGATGCGTTGATGATGGCTACACAGGAGATTCTGAGCTGCCCCACTGTTCTGTCTATAAACACTTGCAAATTTTAAAAGACCCTGTCTGGTTGCCATAAAATACAGGCTGTTCAGTGCTATTACTGCTAAGCCCTGTTTCTCACAATGGCGATGGTCAGATGTGACTCTCACAAACCCAGGATGCATATTTAAAGGTTCTTTTCATTCTGTGGCCCTGAGATGAGGAAGATTAGAGATGCTCAATGAAGATGGGCCCCGTGCATAAGGCTGCCATGCCAGAAGGGCCAACCTCTTGTTATTTGGACCTTTGGAAACCACACACACTGTTCAAAGTTGTGCTAAGTTCTGGGATCTGATGTTGGCTTCTATCTTGCCAGCCTCCCACGTGTACCTCAGGGAAAGAGGCGTTAAAGGTCAGAAAAATCCAGATTTGAATTCCAATTCTGTTCCTGGCGGGCTCTGTGACACAGCGAATTCTGTCACCTCATTGAGCCCCGGATCGCTTTTCCAAAAATGTAGAAAAACACCTCAAATTATCACCTATACATCCAATACATACTAATTAAGTGATAATTATGACCCAACCACTGAGATCTATCAAGGGCTTATGTCTCTAAGTGAACTGTTGAACAATAGATGAGTTACAGGGCAGGGCCGTGTCTGCCACGCCAGAACAGCATCTCCTATACCACAGAGCACCAGCCACATTCTGTCTTCAACACAGTCCATGCTGAGCTGGCAGAGGCAGGGAGAGCCTGGGATTTTGCATTTCTAACAAGCCCTGTGGAATCCCATCCCCCGCCAGACAGAGGACCACACTGGGTAGCAGAGATTAGGGGTTGCCACAGAACATGCAGGAGGAGAATGTCACCCAATAGAGAGAAAGATGAAGGATGACTTCAGTCAGACAGACAAGGTGCTAAGGATAAATAAAGATTAGCCTGCGGAGAAGCAGCGTGTGGGTGGCTGGGTTGTGGATGGCAGAGCTGATGCAATATAGTGAGATCTTGAGCAAAGGCAATGACACAATGAGCTCCCACTAAGATTTGCAAGTAATTCCACATTGCTGAAGTGAAGAATGAATTAGCAAAAATATCTAGGTCACCATGGTTAGGATGAAGTCAGACCCTGGAGAGTCCAGACCCACTCCACACTATCTGGTAGAAGCCTAGACATCAATGGCTCATTTTCCACTGAGTTTCCTTTGCATTACACCTTTTCCCAAATTATTGTGATGCCAATTATCCAAAAAGACTAAAATCAGTCCCTGGCACAGTCTACACACACACACACAAACACACACAGGCACACATATATACACACACAGAGACGTGTACACAGGTAAACATAGACACACACACAAACACTAAACACACAAACTAGAGTAAAACTGTTTTCTATATTTCGGCTGGAATCCTCTGTTTGCCTTTACAAACAGATCCACCTGATAAAAAAGGAATGTACCTTTTAACAATAGTCCAGTGCTCTAGCCTTTTTCTTCCTACTTCCAAGCCTTGACACTTGTGTCCATCTCTTATTCTCAACTCCAGGGCCTAGCGGAGATCTCCATATCATCTAATCTACGAGCTAACTCTTTGTTTACAGTTCTAAAGAGGCCCATTGTCGCTGATTCCCCATCTTGTAAATCTGTCACAGGGTAACAACTTCAGAAGAGAGTATATCGCCACTCAGGGACCGCTTCCTGGCACAAAGGACGACTTCTGGAAAATGGCGTGGGAACAAAACGTTCACAACATCGTCATGGTGACCCAGTGTGTCGAGAAAGGCCGAGTGAGTAAACAGCCCTCCTGACTCCCTGGCTTCACTCTCTTGCTGTTATTCTGATGGCCCTCTACCCTCCCTGCTCATCCAAAGTCACACCCGCAAAACCAAGTAGAGACCGTGGGAGAAGCTGTTAGGGAATTAAGCCACTTGGTTATAACAGAATTCGGATCCTTTTGAAAGTTCCTGGTCAGACGTTTCACTCAAACCCATTTGCATGTGAAGCCTGGGAGAGTCAGAAGTAAAAGAGTGGAAAGATTACCCACCTGCTGATTTGAGGGGGGCCTCTCAGGAAAAAGTATTTTAGGCTGTACTGGCAGACACAAATGAGCTATTAGTCAAACCTCTTATATTTATAATCTCCATTTCTAATATTTGATATTATATGGATACTTTTAGGATCAAAAAGAAACTTAAGAGCTTAATATGTGTATGTTGGATTCCCAGACTATCTTTCATCATCCTGGCTAGAATAGGACCTATGTCTTTCTCTGCAAGACTCTCCTTGTTTGACAATATTTATATGAGCTATATATAGCTACACGTGTTGAGGAAATGGCCAATCTATGTGCATAGCCATGTAAACAGAAATTCAGTATACATATTTAGCTATATCTACTGCCCTCACCACATATAAAAAAGTAATGTTCATAGAATTTGATACACACAGAAATACAAATACATACTTATAGTTAATGAATTCACATATTATAAAAGATAGCGATTTAATAGGTACCACAAGATATAATCCAAAGACAAATACTCAAATCTCTTTCCTTATCTCTTCATGCATAAAAACACAAGTTTAGCTGAGAGTTCTATCATCTCAAAGATCACTTAGGCTTGTGGTCCAGGTAAAGAATGTGATTAAAAAAAAATAGTAAACAAATAGGTCCAAGAGGACAGTGCCTTCTTCTGCTTGGTTAGGTCTTTCTTCAGAAAGAACATCTTCTCCCTTCTGTTTGAGGTTCTTTGGCTGGAATTGTAGGATGTGTGTATCCTAGGCAAAGCCCCTTTGCTTCCACACTGTGGCCTCAGCCCAAGAACAGGAGGTTTTAAGTCATTGTTTGTCAGCTGGTGGGACCATAACACTGAGTTAAAAAAAAAAAAATCGAGAACTCCTTAAGCCGTCCCAAGGGTGAATGAATCTAACCACTGGGACCGGGGCCTGTTTGGGGGGAAGTTTCTTGCCATCCCTTGAAACAGTAGACCTACTTTGTCACTGGCCATGAGCAGGTTGACAGAAAGGTCAAGGTCAGGTTGTTTTAGCTGCTGGTCTGGATCCCTAACTCAGGAAGGGACTTCGAGGAGAGGGGGTCCAGATCCACATTGCTGTCATGTCTCCAGGCACACATTTTCTTGTTTGTTCTCTTCCAGGTGAAGTGTGACCATTACTGGCCAGCAGACCAAGACCCCCTCTACTATGGGGACCTCATCCTGCAGATGGTCTCAGAGTCAGTGCTACCCGAGTGGACCATCAGGGAATTTAAGATATGCAGTGTATGTTAGTATGCTTGACTTCATTTTAAAACCCAACTTAGAAGCCAGGTACTGTGGTATGTATTTGGAATCCCAGCATTTGGGAGGTGGAGGCAGAATGAAGTTTAAGGTCATCCTCTATATACCTTGAGAGCTTAGGGCAAGCCTAGGCTACATGAGGCCTTGTCTCAGGAAAGGAAAGGAGAGAAGAGGAGAAGAGGAGGAGGCTAGGAAGAAGAGAGGAGGAGGACAGAAAGAGGAGAAGAGGAGGACAGGAGGAAGAGAGAGGAGAGGAGAGGAGAGGAGAACAGGAGAGGAAATAAGTAAAGGTGGAGGGGGAAACAACCCAACTCACAAAGAAGATTCTCTGTAAATCCTGCTTTTGCTGGTTCACAGCCTGTAGTTCGGACTGTGGAAACTCCTATGTGACACAGTTGTCAGAGGCTGTTTGCGTTTTTTTTCTCAGTTGTCTGTCTTATCACCTGTTCTCCACCCTGGCAGGAAGACCAGTTGGACGCACACAGGCTCATCCGCCACTTTCACTACACAGTGTGGCCAGACCATGGGGTCCCAGAGACCACCCAGTCCCTGATCCAGTTTGTGAGGACCGTCAGGGACTACATCAACAGAAGCCAAGGGGCGGGGCCCACCGTGGTGCACTGCAGGTGAGAGCACCCTGGGAGACAGTCGCGGTGGAGGCCCAGCGGGCCTGCAGCCAGTGAAGGTTCCTCCACGCCAGCCAGCCTGCCTCACCCCATGTCTATTATGCTCTTCTTCCTTCTCTCCTAACCTCGTTCTTCTTTACAGCTTCAGCTTTTCCACTTTCTTCACCTCCTACTTTGTTCTCCCCCTCACTCTCTCCATATTCGCTTTCCTACTGCATGAAACATAGAATCCTTAAGTGACTTCCAGGTCCTCCATAATGGGCCCCATCTCACCTTCAGTTCCATTTCTCGTCTCTTCCCCTTCCGTTTTACACAGGAAGTTAACCCTACAAGTTTGTTCTTTTGTTTTGCTTGCGTCTAATTTTTTAAATTACTCTTTTCATGTTTTCATACAAGCCAATGGGTTTCCTTGTCACATTTTCATACATATGTGTCCTTATTCTTTACATTTGTGTTTTATCCTCACCCATAGACCTCTCCCATATCTCCTGCCTTCCTCAGGTCAGTTCCCTCCTAGAGCCTCCTGCTTTCATATCACATGTACTCCATTATCTTATTCTTTCTTAAGATTACTGTCTCTCCTCTCGTGTGGGGAGACAGTCTCATTACACACACACACAGGAATGTGCACATGTATAATGTATAAGTTGCTTTTCTGTTGCCGCGACGAAACACCCTGAACAAGGCGACTAACAGGAGAAGTTTCTTTGAGCTTATAGTTGCAGAGGTTGGAGGGCATGATAGCAGGGACAGTGTGACAGCAGTTAGAACAGCATGCTGAGGGCTTACATGTTGAACTATAAGCAAGAAGCAGAGAGCAAGCAGGAAGTGGAATGTGACTATAAATACTCAAAGCCTGCCCCTAGTGAAACACTTCCTCCACTAAGGCCACACATTCTAAACCTATCTCCAAGCGCACCACTGACTGGAAGATTGTGTTCAAATGCCTGAAACTGTGGGGGACATTTCCTACTCAAACCACCTCATATAATCTTTCACCTAGGGCCATCCTGCACATAAGAGAAAACATGGCATTTTTATTCCTGGGTCTGGTGCATAGACCTATTCCTGTTTCCTTCTGTTTTTAACTCCTTGAGATAACTTTCTCTCTCAACCTCCTAAGTCTTATCCATCTTTTAAGCTCCCTGCCCCAGACCTCCCCCACCTCCAGGTCTAGTAGCATGTTTGTGTGTCCACTGGGAATACTATCACAAACTACTGCAGCCTGGGTAACTTATAAACCGTGAAGATTTACTTTTCACAATCCTGGAAGCTTTATGATCAAGCCACAGACAGATTGATGTCTCATAAGAACCTGATCTCTGAAGCCATGTATGGCATCCAGAGGAGGGAAAGCTGTGACCTCACATGGATGAAGCCAGATGACAGACAAGCAAAAGGACCCAGCTAACTCACTCCAGCAGTCTGTAGCCAATTTTTGTTTTTAAACTTTCTTTTTCTCTCCTGACTTTTCCTCGCTTCAGTTCATCTGTCCATAAAAATCAAGTTAACATGCTATCTTTCTCTCTCTGGGGAGCCTGGTGTTTAGCTAATTAATGTTTGCGGCACACTTTGATCGTCCCAACTGAGTGGCACTAGGAAATAAGGGGCAGAGCATTGCTCAGTAAAGAAAATGTCAAGTGTTTTACCTTCTCCCAGCAGCCTCGCACCCCAGGAGCCCTGCTTTTCTATGTCTTTGGACCCCAGTGCTTTAATGCGAATATGAAACAGTGAGGCGTCCCCAGCTTTCCAAAGAAAGGCAGGCATTTTCTTCCAGGAACACTGGAGAATTGTTCTGTGTCTTTAAGTGTGTTCATTGGCAGCCCAAACAATTGGAGGGAGTGTCCACAAAGAATGCTACTTATTTAGAGAGAGTAGAACCCTGCAGTGGGAATGGGTGCCACGGTAAATGACGGATATGGGCAAAGTTGAGTTTTTAAGACGAAAGGTATGAAAATACATATTTCATGCTACTTCGTCAGAAGTCTCACTGGTCTTAGTGACCTGAGGCAGGAGTTGCTCTTGGCCCACCAGCAGAGGTGCCAGCACCGCCTTGGCGTGGCAAGGCACCTTCCATGGATTGCTGCAGAGCTCAAGCTAATGTTGGTATGGAAACCTATGCCTGTGTGTAGTGCGTGAAAAGCAGGGAATGCATGGGGGATGAGAAAGAATTTCTTGTGGGACTATTCAGAGTCCTTATGGAAGTATTTATCACAGTGAGCAGACAGGCATGAGCTCTCCTTTCTCTGTATTCCCAGTTCTAATTTTGTCTGTGCCGAATAAGAACAAATTCATCTTGGTATCACCAACTGGCACAGCATCGAAGAACCCTGTGTCGAGGAGAAATTTAGCAATTTTTAGCAAAAGTGATCGTCCCCTGCAACCAGCCCAGCCTTTCTAGCTACCAGCGGCTCGGAAGCTGCCCCACGGGTTCACAGTGATGTTTACTGCCGCACGGTAATAGAAAAACTAAAAATGGCCTTCTTCTGGGTAATGTGGAGGGGACTGGCAGCAGTCTGTGGCCTCCTCAGAACAGGTAACAGAAGTTGGAGGTCAAGCCAAGTGCACATGGCCATGCCTGTGAGCCCAGCACTAGTAAGACTAAGGCAGAAAGGCCGTGAGTACAGAGCAAGAGCTTCCTCAAAACAACAATAATGAAGTGATGGGAAAGAACAAGGAAAGAAAGAGCAAGTGAGAGAGAGAGAGAGAGAGAGAGAGAGATGAAATTACTTCTGTATCCCAAATGAATAAACCACAAAACAATACTCACAATATTGAGTAGAGAACTTGGCAAAAGGATGTGGAAAGAGTCTTAGCACTTCAGTAAATGTTCAAAACATATGGAATGTTCTTTTTTGGGAATTGAAGGTATGTAGAAAAAGTATTAAAAAAAAATAGGCATGGTCCTGAAACATACCGAGGTCAGAGTGGTGCTTACAGTGGTGGGGTGAAGGATAGGAAGAAGGGGGAAGCGATGGACCACAGGGGTTCTAGCTTATCTTTCCCTGAGAGAGAACATGCCTGTGGAAAGAAAGAATTCCTGTATTCTCCCAGTTTGAGAGACAGAAGAAAGATGGCCCGAGTCTCCTGCTATCGTCTTGAAAGGGCAATGAAGTCAGAGGCCCCCATCTTCCCTTTGCTTCTCTGCAGCGCTGGCGTGGGCAGAACAGGGACATTTGTTGCCTTGGACCGGATCCTCCAGCAGTTGGACTCCAAGGATGCTGTGGACATTTACGGAGCAGTGCACGACCTTAGACTACACAGGGTCCACATGGTCCAGACGGAGGTAAGCCTTCCAAGATGGACACCAGTGCCTTCCGCACACCTAATCCACTGTCCCTAGCCTGTCCAGGACACTTGAGCAAGAGAAAGAAGTGAACATATGCATTTTCCAGGACTTCATATTTTGAAGCAAATCTCATTGACCTTCAGCATTAGGTGTATTCTTTACTGAGCCCCTCAGGGAAGAATCTACTTAGGTAAGCAGGAAGAGAGATGGAGTATTTTGGAAAAGCTTTATACGTGGGGAACTGGCTGGCCCAGCCCACTTAGGAGCTCATTTTAAGGCAGGCTGGTGGAGAAGCACAGGAGCTTCTATAAGGAAGCTTCTGACTCTCTTCTCTCCCCAGCTCCACCCCCTCCATCTGCATCCTCACCTCTGGATACATACACCAAGAGCTGTATAGAAGGAAGGTTACATGTTTCCCTTTGAGCACTGTTTTGACATTTATGGGTGGTTTTTGTTGTTGTTTTCGTTTTGGTTTGGGGCGTTTTGTTTGTTTTGTTTTGTTTTTTAAGACAGTGTCCCATGGTACTTATTTTCATTTCCAACCTGGAAAGCTGAGGCCCAGAGGCTAAAAAGTTTTGTACAAAATCCGTAGTCCTGCTGGCCAATGGTGGGTGCACACCTTCAGTCCTGGCACTCAGGAGGCAGAGGCAGGTGGTGTTTGAAGCTCTACATAATTAGTACATAATTAGTTACAGGGCAGCAAAGGCTACATAAAGAAACCCTATCTTGAGTGTATGGGTAGCACAAATTGGACTTGGTTGGGCTTGTTTGTTTGTTTGTTTGTTTGGCTGGTTGTTGTGGTTTTGGGGAGGCAAAGCACAAGGGTGCAGGTATAGCTGGGAGCAATGGGAAGCTGGTGTCATTAGGATACATTGTATGACATTCCCAAATAATTAATATAAATATTATTTTGGGAAAGTAATCCATAGCCATGAGGTAAGCAAACTTGGACCTTGTTCCGGACCATACTACGCCCTTGAATACTGAGCCATCGCCCCACGGCTCCACAGTCAGATCTATACACAAACCCCATATATACCAAACACGTTTCGCTCCCTCATCAGCACCCTCTAAAGCCCGGGTTCTCTCATTGGCTTTCCCAAATCTTCGTTGAAGTAACTCAGAGGGAAAAGACAAGATCTAAAAAGCTTTCCATGGATAAAAAGTTCTATCTACCTGCTACCATCCAGTCACCGTAGCCATGGAAACCGCACAGGCAACAGGGCTCCGCAACCAGCATCCCGCAGCAAGGTTACCTTTGAGCTTTGTCGAATGCACAGTTCTAAAAGCACCATCCCCTAAGCTCTTTCTGGTGCAGCGTTATATTCGTATCCTGTGGAGCTCACCTTCTGGGCCACATTTGGCAGAAGCCTGGTGTTTTGGCCTCTCCTGTAGGCAGCACCTACTCACCAGATCTGCCGCCACCTTTGTACTCCCCTGAGTTGTGCATGTGTCTGTCTGTCCGTCTCCTTGTCTCTCTCACTCTGTTATTGTTTAGATTGTGATTTTTTAAAGGATTATTTCACTTTTATTTATAGGTGTGTGTGTGTGAGAGAGAGAGATAAGTACATGAGGGGGACCCCATGTCAAGGCCTCAAGATGACACGGGGTCCCCTGGGGCTGGGGCTGGCTAGGGGTGCCCCATCCATTGTGGGTGCTGGAAACCGAACTCTGAACCTCTTCAACCTCAAGTGTTCTTGACCACGGAGCCATCTCCCAGTGTCAATTCTGTTCTGTTGGCACAGAACCTCACCGTATAGGCCAGATTAGCCTTGAACTTGAAATTCTTAATCCCCAGAACCATAAGGCTGAGCATGTACCAACGTGGCTAGCTAGTGCTTTCGCTATAGCAATTTCTCTGCCACAGGCTCAGTGTTTCAATAGGAAAGAATTTAAGAGCATACAAAACCTGGGCTATGTATAGTTGATTGGTAGAGTGTTTACCTAATATGCACAGGTATCTAGGTTTGTTCCCCCAGTACCATGGGTTGGAGGCAGGGGCTTGACTAAGGAAACCAGGTAATCAGCATCCTTTAACCCAAACCCCAGCTTCTACAAATAGCAGCGACATGTTCTGTTCTCATCTGTGTCCCACAGCAATTCTCCATTTCCTTGTCAGACAACCCCGCGCCTCTGTTCTACAGATTTCCATGGTGGTTGTCTGGTCCTTGTGGTTTTGCTCATCTGGCTGCTAGAGCCCAAGGCTTGGTAAACTGTAGCTCTACAGTCCCGGTGCCCCTCGGCTGTTGCCGGGTCCCTCCTTTTGTGCCACAACAGAGGGCAGACAGGTCATCACATCCATGCTGCTTGGTGAAGTCAGACAAAATTAGTGATGGCCTCACTGGCAGGACCCAGCCTCTTACCATCAGCTTCCCAGTAACCACGCACTTCACGATGATTGCTGTCTATCTGTCATTTCATTTAGGGACAGGGTCTATCACCCGTATCTTAACTGTCATTCTTCCCACCCCTGTATGAGCTCTGGGGAGTAGAAACTTTTCTGTCTAGTTTACAAATGAGAAAAAAAAAAAAACCCCTTCAATTATGTTGCTAAAAAGTCGGCGCCAGTGTCTCATTTCAGCATCACTTCCCACAAACTCAGACTATAATTAATTTGAAGGTTGGGGAGTAAATACCTAATACATTGTAAGTAATCTTGAGCTGTGTGTGTGTATGTGTGTGTGTGTGTGTGTATGTGTCTGTGTGTGTATTAGGGCTCCTGGTTAATTTCAAATACAACTTGGGCTATGCATCACTTTCATGAACCGGTCCAAACTCTTGGCCCCAAATAGGGTGTCTATTATAAGCATCACTGCCTGGTTTTCAGAGCAGAGGCACCTGCCATGGACCAAATCTCCTCCTCTTTGAACATCGCCCCTTCCTTCTGCTCTTCTCTTCTCCCTTTCCCACTGTTCTGAAGAGTCTGTGCTTTTGTTTCTCTACTTGTATTTTCAGTATCTGAGCTCCAGATACAGTAAATCTTTTTATTTCTCTCAGTCTTCACTCTTGGCCATGTCCTCCCCTCCCACATACACTCCTCTTTCCCAAACCTAATCCCCCGTCCCTGTTTCCTTAACTTTTATCTAAGTACCTGCTCGCTGGGCTGTTCTGCCTACATGTTAAACTCATCTCCAACTCAAAATGCTCAACACCAAGGTGGGTACAGTGGTGCATGCCTAAAATCCCAGCACTCAGGGAGGCAGAGGTAGGTGGATCTCTGTGAGTTCAAGGCCAGCCTAGTCTCCAAAGTGAGTCCAGGGTAGCCAAGGCTAAACAGAAAAACCCTGTCTCAAAAAAGAAGAAGAAAAAGAAGAAGAAGAAGAAGAAGAAGAAGAAGAAGAAGAAGAAGAAGAAGAAGAATTAGAAGAAGAAGAAGAAGAAGAAGAAGAAGAAGAAGAAGAAGAAGAAGAAAATGCTCAACACTAAATGCACGACCTTTTAGGAGGTATCCATGGACATGGTATACACATGTACATATCCTTTCTGTGTGAGTGGGAATGTGTATTGTATGCATGTGGAAGTGATAAGGGAACACTGGCTGTCTTTCTCAGTTGCTGTCCACCTTATTTTTTGAGGCAAGGTCTCTCACTGAACTTTGATTCTGAATCACTCATAGTAAACCCCAGGAGTACAACTCTCTTTACCTCCCCATTGCTGGGACTACAGGCATGCACCACTACACCTGGCTAGTAATGAGTTCTGGAGAGCCAGCCTCAAGCCCTCTTGCTTATACAGCTAGCACTGAGCTGTCTCAGAGTCAACGCATTGGCCCAGGGTAGGGGCCTGTTGACTGAGATAAAAAGCGCATGGAATCCTGAAACACTTCCAGTGCCCTGCTTGTCCCTTGCACATTTCCCTGACTTTGAAAATAAAATAACCCTGAAATATAAAGTTGATATAATTTTTCCTCTCTCCTTTTTCTTTTTCTTTTTTTTTTTTTTAGAAATTTTTCCTTTAGCCAACCTAAATCCAGACAGCAATCAGGCATTATCTGTGTGGCTTTAAGCCCGTGTCACACTGGAAAAATTTCTACAGTCTTTGTAGTCTTTGGCTACATGAGGGGGCATGGATGCAAAGGGCTATAACTCACAGTACAGGGCCTGTGGGTGATGGCTCCAGAACAGGGAAAAGGACTTTCTGAGCTGTACCCTGATTTGTCTGAGTCTACAGTGACAGGTGATCTCAGTTTTCTTGTACCTTGAGACCTTGGGATACAAAGGAATACGGGTCATCATCATTTCTGATGGTTACATCAAACAGCAAGGATTTCTAGACAAAGAGGCAATAGGGGACTTGTAGGCATCTTTCCCTCTTTAGCCTTCTGCCTTGGGGCAGATTTGCAGCCTAACTCTGAGAGAGACACTTTGCTATAGTAAGACCTTGTTGAGGGGAATAGTAGTGGTTTTAGTCAGGCATTCTGACTGCTCTCATGAGGAGACACCAGAACATTGTGGGTTGAAGTATCTCAGGTCGCATTTAAAAGACTATCCTGAAGGTCACCCATGACCCAGGCAATCTGTATTTTAGCCACACTGGACTCCCAACTCACTTTCATGTTATCTTTGTCACGTGGGATGTCTTACTTTATTCAGGTTCTTTCAAGGTCATCTTTTCTTTCTAGCTTGATATTTTCTTTCTCCAAATGATCTCAAAAGCTTCCTGTCCTGCATGAACCTTTATACATAATTCTAATTTATTATCTTCTACATATTCACTCACATGTCTGCCCGCGTGCTAAACTATCTCTTAGGAGCCATGAACCGAATGGCCATACATGTAATATCATAAATCCAACACAATACTGAAAAGATTGGTGGGGCTAAATGGAAGTGAATATGTCAGCATTTAGCCAGGGCTTCCCCAATTAGAAAAAAAAAAACATTCTTTTATGTCTTGAGGTTTAGTTCAGTTTTTTTTTTCTATTTTTCATTAAGAATTAAGTGGGGGGGGAGGGCTACAGTAACAACTTGATGATTTTAGAAGTAATCAGTTTTTGAAGGGATATCCTATTGGGAAAAGAAAAGTTGATACTTAAGACAAGGCAAATTAATAGAGAGTAATTAGTTTCGAAGCCGGTGGTGAATCACTGTTGAACAATGTATTCCTAAGCTCTGGCCTGGGTATAACAGAGTTCATTCACAGCTTATCTCTTCCATCCACAAGTACTTTAATTAAAGAGGAGGGGTTGTGTGGAGCAGGAGAAGCCGCTCAGCAGTTACGTGTGTTCACTGCTCTTTCAGAAGATCCAGCTTTGGTTCCCAGCACCCCATGGGGCTGAGAACAGCCTGTAAGTCCAGTTCCAGAGAACCAACCCCATCTTCTGGCCTCCAAGGGCTTATGCATACACATTCTGCAAATAAACTCAGGCAGACATGCACACACACATAAAAAAAAAAAAAATCAGTCCATTTTCAAGGTCAAGGTGGCATAAAACCAAGTAGGATCTGTGAGGAAAAAAAGCAAAGAATAGTTCTTAAAACTGGAGCAAGCCTTGCTTATGACTGTTTAATTTGTTTACTGTTCTAACCTAGCTGGTACTACAACTCAGAGGCAGAGCTCTTGTCTAGTACGTGTAAGGCCCCAAGTTTAACTCCTAGCACCCCAAAAGATCAAAAGCAGGAGAGGTCTGAGGATGTATAGCTCAGGAGGTGGTGAACAGTGATGTGGAAGTAGAAGATGAATAAACCCTTTCCTCTTCAACTTCCTTTTGGTCATGGTGTTTCATTGCAGCGATAGAAACCCTAGGACAAGTACAAACCTTTCTCTGCTTGAGGACCCATTCTTGGATGTGTTTTCTGACTCTCCACAGTGTCAGTACATATATTTGCATCAGTGCGTGAGAGATGTCCTCAGAGCGAGGAAACTGCGGAACGAACAAGAAAACCCCCTATTTCCCATCTATGAAAATGTGAATCCAGAATATCACAGAGGTAAGAGCTGACCTCGCTAGCTTGAATGTCACTCATTTTTTAGTTCATTTTTCAAAATGCACTCAGTCTGGAAATTAGTACTAGTTCAGTGTTCCTCCAGCATCAACCTCCCATTTCTTCTTCTACCCAAAAGAACCCCCTCCCAAAAGTAGCAGCAGAGAGGAGAGGCAGAATGGGAACGGTCAATCCACAGTTGAGCAGAAACTTAGTATCAATTATTTTCTCAGTGCTGGCATTAATACTCAGGGCTCACACAGGGCAGGCAGATTCTCCGACAATTGCTACACCCCTCTGTCTGCCTAACTCAGCGTGCTCTCTACAAAATGCTTTCCTTAATATTTCTTTTCTGAGAGATCAAACTGACTACTAGGGAGAGAAGGCACTAAAACTATAACTGGGAGTTCAAACTACAAAACTGATGCGAAATGAAAAATTTAGCAATCAGGTTTTCAGTGTCTTTAATGCATTCCTATCTGTGACTGAGTATTTTTCCTGTTATCTTAAATATACAGAATATACTTTGTGCATAAAGCTTTTTCATTTACAAGTTGGAATGAAAAGCAGTAATGTAACAGATGACTATGCTGGTCAGCTTGGCATTATCACAGCAAAATACTTGGGGTGGCTAATGTTATAAAGCAGAAGGCTCATTTAGCATACACTTCTGGGGGTTCAAGAGAATGACACTTGTGTCAGCTAAGTCCTGGTGAGGACCTCATAGTGAATGGTGGACAGCAATCACAGGAGAGTGTCTGTCAGGGCAAGTGGCCAAATCTTGAGCCAGGGAATAGATAGCTGGGAGAGGCAAGACCACATAACTCTATGGAGCTTCCTCCTGAGGACTCATCATATTCCAAAGGGTTTGCTATTGCATTTTCTAAGACTGTCACCCGGCAGACCAAGTATTTGACTGTAATGAACCAGAAGTCATATTCAAGTCATAGCAGGGACTAGAGCACATTCACTAATAATACTACAGTGCTCATTAAGAATGTTTGTTTGTTTGTTTGTTTTACAGTTTGAGATAAAGGCTATGTTGCCTAGACTGGCCTTGGAGTCCTAGGCTCAAGCATCCCTTCTTCCTCAGCCTTGCCATAAGCAAGACTGGAGGCACATGCTACCACACCTGGACTCAGAATAATAGTTTTGAGGATATTATCATAGTGTGGCTACCCTTATAAGGAAGCTTGTCTTGGTTGCTATAACAAAATACCTGAGACTAGATACTTTATAAAGATGAGAGGTTTGTGGTAGAGATGTTGCTTAACAGGCAGGAAGCTCTGGGTTCAACCCTCATAACCACAAAGAAAAGAAAAGGAGTCCATGGATATGCTGAGCCCATGCATTTGGCCTTTCGTGGGGTCCAGCAGCTAGCTACATTCACCAGGTGAGAGCCTATGGTGAGAGGCATGATGGCAGGGCGCTAAGAAGGAAGCAGAATGGGTTTACTCTGAGGGACCAACTGTAATCTCGCAGTGATCAGGTCACCTCCCACTCCTTTCAAGTCCCACTGTTACAGTAGAGATCAAACATCCACAGCTTAACCCTGGCGCAAGGTAAATGCAGAATGTAAAACAGACAGAAGCAATGTATATAGGGGGAAAACAAACATCGAATGGGAGGAAATCTGACAGCAAAATTAATATCTTTGAACAACACAGGACCACATCTGATGTTTTTCTACTGGTTTATAAATCTTCTAGAACAAAAGCCTAACTTTTTTTTCCATTAAAAAAAAGTCAGGAGCAAGAAAAAACAAAACAAAACAAAACAAAAAACTAACTTCTAACTTAGTAAGTCATGCTTTCATCAGCAATAATGACCTGGCAAGAAAAGGCCTCTGGCCTGCCATTGAGGCCAGATGTACTAAAGAGGCTGGGAAGGGTTACTGTAGACCTCACTTCCCTGTCCTGGGTCTGAGATCTTCTCAGACTTCTCTCTTTGGCAGACATGATTTCGGACCTGTTTTCTTTTTTTAAGTGCTGTTCTGCTGACACAGTCTCCTAAGGCTTATTTAGTCTCTGCAGCCTCAGTCGCTGCCACCCAGCCAGCGTGTTATTTAGTTATTTAGATGTTATTTAGCATCTAGGGCTGCCTTGGAAATCAGATAATCTTTTGTGTTGTAAATAATCACCCCCTAATTTATCTGTGAAGTAATTTAAGGTTTTTGCATATCAGTTTCTTTAAGACATTCCGGGAGGGACAGGTTGGTGGGGGTGGATCGTAAGGGTTCTTTGGTCTTGTGTTAACTTGTTTGAAAATCTTCTTATAACGAATCTTGGGTGTGCCTGAAAGAAGCTAATTGTGGGCTTGAAACAGAAAAGCCGCCATCCTAACAGCTAGGCTTCAGAATGTAGTTCATATGTCACCCTGGGAAGCTTACTCTTCCTCCTGGCCTGTAGCTCCCTCTGTATCTCAGAGGCAGGAGGATGTGGGCAACCAGAGTCCCTTCCAAGTCCAGGAATCTGCATTTTTAAATGGAGTGAGCTGGCCCACAGTAAGGCTCTATCCTGAATCACACAGAGCTTTAGAGATGTCCGCCAGTGTCTCCCATGTAGAAATTTCATAACTAGGATAACGGAGACAGTCACTCTATAGCAGTGGCTCTCAATTTTCCTAACGCTGTGCCCCTCTAATACAGCTCCTCATGGTGTGGTGACCCCCAACCATAAAATTATTTCAGCTGCTACTTCGTAACTGTGCTTTTGCTACTGTTTTGCTGCTGGTTGAACCGCTGCTCTACAGTTTCTAACCATATCATCTTTGCTCCCAGATCCAATCTACTAGAGACGTTAAGAACACACCTGAAGATCCCCTGGATAAAAGTTTTTCACTGTGTGACTTTTAAAAAGGAAACCTTGCTTCATGCCCTGCAAAGGTGCCAGCTATTTCTGTTGATACTATGTATAATTTATTAATCTGGAGAATGTTAAAGAATTTATGTAATTTAAAGGTAACAGATATTATTGTATATACTTGTATTTTGTAGTTTCTTCTGTAAATATGTATTTTTCATAATGTTTAAAATTAAGCTTTATATAATACTATTTTTTGCACACTAAAGTGTCCATGGCTTGTTCTGCATAAACCAATCCCACCTATACGACAGGACCACTGGTGAAATGTGTGCCGAGGAAGTTGCAAGGACAATCCTGGGGCTGTTTCTTGCCTATCTCGATATTCACTGGGTAAACCAAAGTCAGAGCTGGAGAGAGCATACCAGAAGCCCAGCTTTGCTGAGCTGCTTTTTTACGAAGGAACCTCAGGACCTAAAGAGTGTAACAGTCAAAGAAAGATCAGGGCAATGGCTACACCTCTGTGGTAGACCATATGCCAAGAAATTAAAAATTGATAAATAAAGGATTAGACAGCACCAAAGCTGAGCTAGGTGTTGTCTAAACTAGAAGCTTTTTAGCTGACTCCTCCCAGAATTACAAGCCATGGTCACTCAAGGGCATTGAAACTTGCAGTGACTGAAGAGTTGAAGGTTCTGATAGCGAATGATCTAAGAAATGTGAGGTGTACCTTGTGACAATAATGCCACCTGTACCTCTGATGGAACCTCAAGCACAAAGCAGGCTGCATGCCTGCAGCAGCCACACTTGCTTTTCCTTTGGAAAGAGCTACAGTGGTAGGTGATGTTCCTGATCAAAGAAAGCACCGTATACCAACACATTCATAGAAATAGCTACAATATCACCTATAGAATTAAACAATGGTAAACAAACAAACAAACAAACAAACAAACAAACCAACAAACCCCGGCTGTCCTTAGTCGAAAAATCCATCCGAAGATCTTTTTTAAATAAGTCAATGCAGTTAAAATGTTGTCTAGTACACTCACCTGAAGCTTCGTTTAATATGAATGACACCACACACACACACACACACACACACACACACACACACACACACACGACCTACCAAGTTTACCTTTAAGACCCGTGCTTTATTTTGGATATTAATAATTCCAGTGAATCAGAAAGTGGATGTTGACCAAATCAAGACTCGATTCAAAGATGTTTCCTGAGGAAGGTATGGAAAGAGCACTGTGGTCGCCTGAGTGACAAGTCACATTTGTTAACTTCAGGAATTCATGGGCAGAGACACCACGTTTCTCTCCAACGTTTGCGTTTTTGCTGTGTCTCATAAATTCCAACAGTAAAACGGATATAATTGGTATAGCAATTGAAAATCTTTAACTATATAGCTAAGGTCATTGTAACCTTAGTTTGTGAATATATTGTGATATTCATAAAATTACATAACTCCACAGCCAACCTGGACATTTTTTTCTGGTGTATCTGAAGCTCATAGAAACAGAGGAGCAGCAACTAAGGACCCCCCCGCCGTCCCCCCCGTCCCCCCTCCCCGGTCAGCACTCAGAGCCCTCACAGTGTCACTGTGCTCTGTGTGAAGACTGACGCTATGAGGCTCTGGTCCTGTGTCCAGAGACGCATCAAATGTTTTGATCATTTGATCAGGAGAAAGAGGAAGAGAGGTATAAGCATGGGGACAGGCAACGAGAGAGAACATAGAGGTCAGACATGGTTTTGCTGTGGTGTCTGTTAGGAATCATGTTTCTTAGAGGAAAAAGAAAAGGCTAGGCTCAGGGAGCAGCCATGAGGTCGCACGCTTGTGTGTCCACTTCCCCCTCCTCCTGAGAAGAGGAAAACAACAGAGCTGTAAAGTCATGTAGCTCGGAACAAAGCATGTTGATAACCTGGAAAGAGAAGTTCATTTTCATCTTGAGAGAAGTTCCAGCAAGGGCCTGCCTAGATGGGCTAGCACTGTTCCAAAATCTTTGTCCACAAGGAGAATGCACAATGGCAATGAGAGTAGCGCTCTCTCTCTCTCTCTCCCTCTCTCTCTCTCTCTCCCTCCCTCCCCCCCCCCCCCCCAGTTGTAATACAAATCTAGTTGATCTACTCATGGAATTCAGCAGAGAGCAGGGAACTGTAGGGTAGAATGCTTGCTTGGCATGTGGGGAGGCCCTCGATTTAGTCTCAGGAGCCACAAAATAGGTAAGGAGAGAAAAAAAAGAAAGGTTTCTTTGCCATTTGCTCCATAGGATGCATCCGCATTTAATTGCATCAGGAGGCTGTGCCTTGGTAAACACTCCACTTCCTGCCTTGGGGAGCACCCTGTCTGCACCTGAGTGCCTCTCTTTAATCATCAAGGCTTCAAAGTACTTCAAGGCCATCAAACCTTAAGAGAGTCTGTTTTGCATCTGAATAATTATTTACCCAGGTTCCTTATAATTAACTCCTTTAATCTCTTCACATTAAATCAATTTCACATTATCATTCTGCTTTTCTCTGGAAAGCTTCCAAGTTTTTCCACCCCTGAATCAGATTTTCGCAGATGCATCTCCCTGTCTGGGCTCTCAAATGTTCCTGAGGAATTCCCCCCCCCCCTTCAGTGCTGGGGTCTCACGTTGCTTGCTGATTCTTCCTATTGGACAGTTCAGTTGGATAGGATCCTATCTTCTCTTCATCTCATCTCCTTTCACCCATGGCTAACATTCCATACTCTCAACATTACAGATCAAGACCTAATTTTTCAGCATGAAAACGGGAGCAATACAGCAACATGGGGTCATATATATTTAGGAGGCTCTGTAATTAATTTTGTTATTATTTCTTGGAAGAAAGCCCAAAATGATATGAGAAAATAACGTGAAGTGGTTCAACAGATGTCCAGCAATACAAAAATAGGGTTGCATGTCATACTTCACACTGCTTCTCTTATCTTGGTGTTAAGGCTCTAACATATTATGCTGAACCGATCCCTTTGGAAAAAAAAGATCTGCCATGTCTAAATCCTTGGTCAGTTAGTTTATGGTATTTTGGAAGGTTGAATTCTGAAGTCACTAGATCTATATATTTGCCTTGGAGTCCCAGCCATAGAACACTCTAAAATTTTTGTTCACACAAGCTGCCCAGACCAGACCTGACCATGCCACACTGAATAGGTAATAAGTAATAGGCTGTGTGGTTTAAGAAACAGTTGAGAGGTTTGTTCACAGAACACTTCACAGCAAAGGAAACTTTAGACCATGACTGCAGAGAGGAAGTAAAATGACACAAAGAAAGGAAACTATTGGAGAAGAGCTCACCAAAGCAGACGCCAGGAAGACAGAATGGTAGGATGGTGTGTCTTCCTTCCTTCCTTCCTTCCTTCCTTCCTTCCTTCCTTCCTTCCTTCCTTCCTTCCTTCCTCCTTTCTTGGTTCTCTTAAAATCTCATCATGTATTTCTATTAGGACAGATGGACTGAGCATCCCTAATCCCCAAATCTGAAACTCAAAATGCTCCAAAGTCCAAGGCTCTTTTTGAGTCCTGACATGGAGCAGTGCTAAGTTCTACAGCCCCGTGTGATGTCTCAGTCAGACACAAGCACATTAAAAACCACCATATAAACTTAACATCAGCTTTCTGTGCAGGGTACACAAGGGACAGAAATGAACACATTAGATACACACTCAAGATTCATATTATATTTATTCAAAAATTCCGAATTTATTTTAAAATCAAACAGATTCTGATCGCAACATTTCAGGTAAAGGCTCTCCGACCTGTGTTACTATTGTTGGGATTCACTGTGACTATGCCGGTCGGATGATCTCGCTGATTCAACCATTGAACTGGTTTTTTAATTACCCATGTGTGTGACTAAGTTTACATGGTTTGTCATTGTGGACAGAGCACCTTATAGTCTTACAGTGCAGGTTAAGTTTGAGAGTGTTTGGCCATTTCAGTTGAAATTCAGGGTGACATTCGATGCCGCCATGATAACAGTAAAAAATCTGTTCTCTTCTAAAAATGTGTGTAGCAGTGAAAACACTTCTGGCTGGAAAAATACTTGACTTGTAGGGAAGCTTCCTTGGATTAAATGTATGCATTTTTATTCTTTTAAGGATTGTCTATATAGATAAATTCATTAAGTAAGAAAATTGTTGGTGATGCTTCCCTAAATGGAAGTTTATGTAATGGAAATAAAAGATCTATTAAAAGATTTACCAAAGATTATTTTTTAACCTATATGCCAGTGCACATGATTATTATATAAGACACCAAAGAAAGTTGTTCAAAACTGTAAATAGTGTCAGATAAATGTAATGTATCCCTTCTTAGAATAGTCACAAGAAGGATTTGTTTGGGCTGTTTTCTGCCTCAAGTAATATTCTTTAAGAAGCACCCTCTTTGCCCCAACACCAAGCTCAGAAATATGTCTGAGACATATTTCAATAGCTACATGTGTAAATATGCATCACACTGAGAAGGGAGTGTGTGCGGTTGTGGCCTTAGCACTTTAGTGGAGATGACCAGCCTCCATCTGGCAGTTTGTGGGAAGGTCTACAACTGGGGTTCAGAGTCTTCTGGTCTCAGCCACACTGACAAGAGAGGGCACCAATGCCCCCACTAAAGAACTCTTTGTTGCTCGTGAGGCTCAGTTCTCCAAGAACAAAGAGCAAGCCTCCCTGCTAAACTGCCAGCATATTGACCATAGTTCACAGCTCACGTACCCTGCATTCTCGGTGTAGGGTGGAAGTTACTTCCGGCTGTGTGCTTTGGCTGTTAGATCGTGCCTACTATTTCTAAAGTCTACAAAGGTGCACTTAGCTGCTCCATCATCTGTGTGAAGCATAAAACATAATGTAAATAAACCCAACAACTGAACTTATTATGTTCTATAATAGAGCATCCTCGTGGTTTTAAAATCATTTACATGTTCTCTGCAAATCTAGTAAAATGGCAGCAAATCTATTTTTTCATACTGCTGCATCTATCTACACTATTATATTTGTAACCAATATTGTCTGAACAAAGAGCCTCATCAGTCTTTCTATTTAATAATGTATGTGCTTAATATATTTTTCAGATTTGTAATTGTGGTTAAAAGAAAGCTATATGGAATCTGTACAAACCCCCACCAATGTAGGAATAAAACTGCTGCTCGTTAAAAGAGAGTGTCGTGTCTTCTACTTGAATGTTTTTTTGTTCATCGCTTTGAATCATCCCCTGCTGAAGAAAAGTTCAGAAGTGGCTGTTTCTCAGTTAGAAAAACCTTTCAGGCCATTATCATGATGACCATGGCTGTCTTAACATGCGTTCCTGTCTTGAGGACTTGTTTTCCCAGGGCACTGTGAATGCATAATGGACTCTGCCTTTGGCTGTCTCTGCCTGAATGCTTGTTTTCACTTCTATAGTTCATTAGTAACCAAAACACCATCCATGGCCGACAGCGCTGGTGCGTTCTCAGAGGTACTTGCTGGAGGAATGGCTGGGACCCCTTGAGAAACTCCGCCTATCAGTGACATTTGCTAAAGAGCTGCTGTGCTGCTTTACGGAGCTATGAGCTTGCCCCTCTGCCTCTTTCTCATTTCTACTGAAAGATCAGTGTCCTTCACAACTCTCGAATTTAGTTGGGGTTTTCCCCTTCTTTTGTTTTGTTTTGCTTTGTTATTTTTCTGTAACATCTAACTCTAAAACCCTTTATTTAAAATATATATATATATATAATGACAGATTCACATTTAAAACTATTAAAGCGATCCTTTAAAGAAGTTTCTAGGTTCAAATGATTACAGTAGGAAAGCACTTTGTTTTATGAGATAGGACTATTTATTTTTTTCTCTAAAGGGTCTGTTTGATGGAATTTGTTCTTAAAAACAGTAACATAACAAGGGAGAGGGAGAGTTCAGCAGTAAAGGGGTTTTGCTGATGACCTGCATTTGATCTCCAAAACTAATGTGTTAATTGGAGAATGCCAATCCCCAAAAGTTGTTCTCTTACCTCCAATGTACACCGTGACACTCCTGTCTCCCCTCCAAAACAATACACACACACACACACACACACACACACACACACACACACACATGTATAGGTACACACATACACACACATACACACTCATACATTCTCTCTCTCTCTCACACACACACTCACAAACACTCACATCCACATTAACACACATGCACACACATACACACATGAGACCCTCCCTGCCCCCGGGGATCATTGGCCCTTTGAGTACGGACTAAAATGACAACACTCCAGGACCAGCTTCGGGGAGACTGATCAGTTTTACTGGGGGTGAGAGAGGGTTATATAGGACGTTGGGGAGGAGGTAGGTATATCTCGGGTGGGTAAAGATCATGGGCTGCAGGGCTGAGGGACTGAAATGCTCATTCACACAGGGAGGCATCCCGGAATCCCAGGTGCTTGCTGCCCAGGTTCTTATGGGGAGAAAGGGAGTTAGACCTGTAATTTCCCTAAGGGCTACTTGACTTTCCTCAGGTACAGAATGTGAGAATCCAAGTTCTTCTGGGCAGAGAAAAGAAAGCTTCCCTGACAAAGTCCTCCATTTTATGTGGAACTCAGGCCTTTCCCGTCATGGCAGACTTTGAACTTAGCAGCAGGGTTTCCCCAGCACACACACACACACACACACACACTCCCTAGCACTTGGGCTAAGACAGGAGAATTGCTTTTCTGTGAATTTGAGGCCATCCTGGGCTGGAGTTACAAGCAGTTGTGCGCCATTGAGCACGGCTGTTGGGAACCAAACTTGGTGCCTCCGGATAACCCACAACACTCTTCACCCCGGAGCCATCTCTCTGGCCCCTCAGACTGCATTTTAAAGTCACACCTTAACAAAGGTCATCGTAATCTTAAAAATAAAACAACATTAGATAAGAAAGAATACCCCGGGCTAGTCTCTACCCTGCGGCATCCACTTCATACGCCTCAGTGCTGTGGGGCATACCCAGCTACAAATGCTTTCCTAACATAATATGTTGTAAACTTCATCAACACTAAGTAAATTAAGCCACCCGGAATCCAGAAGAGAGTTTTTATGTTGCCTCTCAAAGGAGCGTTTGTAACAACAGATGGGTGAAAATTAACTGGCAATATTTTATCCTGAGAAAGAGAACCAGGCAATAGTTCTGTTCTAGAGGAATTAACAGACACTTACTTCCTCAGTATGGAATATAGCAACCCCAAAAATCAGGTTCCATGTCCTATAGCTTCAATAGAGTTGGTCCCAAGGGCAATCTTGCTGTAATGACAGAAAATTGTTGACGCAGTTAAACTTGGCTTTTCCTGGGGCTTTCTGTGACAAAACTCTCTCCTTTGATCAAAACCTGTCAGGTTGCTGTTTGATTAAGCCTGACCTTGGAGCTCCCTCTTAGTCAATCCACTGAAAATAACCTCCCAGCTGTGATACATCATCGTTCTCAGAATCTTCTCACTGGCATTCAACAAGATTTCCCTTAACCTCCTTTATAAAATGACCTTGTATCTAGATTTTTTTAAAAATTTTATGTCTATGAGTTCTTTGCTCTAATGTATGTCTGCCTACTGTGGGCATGCCTGGTGCCCATGGAGACCAGAAGAGGGTATCTGATTTCCTGGCGCTGGAGTTACGGATGCTTGCTTGCGAACCATTATATGGATCACTGAGAATCAAACCTGTGTCGTCCGTCAAGGCAGTGAGTGCAGAGCCAGCTCTCCAGCCCTTCCCTTGACCTTTGAAGCCTCTTTACACAGTTTCCTCCACTGACCCCCACTGAGTTCCTGGGCTACTCAGCCTACATCTCTTTGTTAGACCTGAGGTGAGTGTGACCTCTCTCTTGTACTGCAAGACCATTCTGCAATTGCCTTTAGACCCAGTGCCACCGTCTTCCCTGTGGCCTGCTTTACTGTTGTTAGCACATGCTGTGCACATTTTTTAATGAGTATAATAATGCGAAAACTTTTGTACTCGTTATCTTAATATACATTTATGTTCCCGAGGGCTCCCAGAGCTTTTGACCCCAGAAAAGCACTTGGCAGTCTTTACCAGTGAGCTAGCACTAAAATTTGTTTCCCTGTCTCTCCTACCCTGATGCTAGGTGGAGGAGGCACACACCTTCAGTCCCACACTCAGGAGGCAGAGGCAGGTGCATCTCCGAGTTGGAGGCCAGACGGGTCAATAATATAAGTTCCAGGACAGCCAGGGCTAAACAGAGAAACCCTGTCTCAGGAAAAAAAACAAAACAAAACAAAACAACAACAACAACAAAAAAAAAACAGTGAGATAGAAAAGATGAGGGAGTTGTTAAAATTCAGCAGGATAGTAATGGGTGTTCTTTGAGAGTAGAACTTTTCTTGGCTCTTGGTCAGCTTAACTTGGGGAGCTGCATGCCAAATGATCAACTGTCACCAAAGATAGCACTAACCCCAAGGTTTCCAAGTTCACTGTTTCACACCCAAGAAGAATAGAGAAATTCAGGCAAGGAGTGAACAGAACGAATGTAAATTTATTAAGACAACCTGTGCTCACATTTTGTTTTCCTCTTACTCCTCCAATAACTGTCACCGCCCCCATGCAGAATACTCCAAGTCCCTCTCATTCCAGCCTCTGCTCTCCTCTGGAGCTCTGTGTGTTATTTAGGCTTCAGCCCTCTGGATCTCTCCTGGAGTCTTATGCTTTGTATATGGACTCCATGTTTATGCAAGTTAATAAATGAGCATTGCTTTTTCTCTGATTTGTTCATTGTCAATTCCTTTGACCATGCCTTCACAGGATGGAAGACTTCTCTTCCCCTATAATGTTTCTCGCAGAAGAATAGAAATGATAGCATAGTCACTAACTCTAAATCCCATCGGTTTCCTCTAAAGTTCAAGAATGTGGCTGGACAGTTCTTAGGGGTAATAAATGCTTACAGCAAAGGGGAAGTGACCGACTTATGCAAAACTGACATGTTAACTTAGGGTAGGAGTCATGAAGAGAAAGAAACTCCCATTAAAATAGACCCATAAAACAGGTGAAGCAAATCCAACTCCCAACTCAAAAGATCTTGGAAATCAGAAGGTAAAGGAGACAGGAGGAACAACCCAGAGCAAGCAGATGCTCTCCTAACCCACTGCTTCTCAACCTTCCTCCCCTCTAACACAGTTCCTCATGTTGTGGAGGTCCCCACCCATAAAATTATTTTATTGCTCCTTCACAACTGTAATTTTGCTCCTGTTGTGAATTGTAAGGTAAATATCTGATATTTCCGATGGTCTTGCGTGACTGCTGTGAAAAGGTAGGTCAGCCCCACAGGGGTCGTGACCCACAGATTGAGAACTGCTGTTATTGTTAGTAGAAAATTTGGGAAACCTCATTTTGGGTGCATGTGTTATTGGGGGAAAACAGAGTCTCCCTTTCATGGTCCTTAGCCTCATTAATGGAATAATTTAAGAACAGGCTCAAAGAAAGTTTGAGGACAATTTTATCAGAGTTTAAAAAGAAAAAAAAAAAAGGCAGGCTTGCTGTAAATCTTGGCAGTTTCCCAGAAGAAGGAAATGGAGAAAAGAAAGAACATTATGCCTTTTGAGCTAGACATGGAGATTTGGCAAGGAGCCACATGGCAAAAAGGAGACAATTTCAGAGAAACAGTGAAAATGCTCAAATACCAGAGGAAAAGTTATTCTTTTCTGTAGGCTCTGGAATAAACACACCGAGAGCAAGGGATTCTGGGAAAGATCATATACTATCTCATTTAGGGAATAATTATTCCTCCCATGGATATGCAGGAGCAAAATATATCTGGTGACAGAATGGAACCTGGAAAGGAGTGCCAGACAGAGAAACAGATGCAACATGGAAGATTTCTGGATTTGGGGAGATCATGAAGTCCGGATCCAGAAAAACAAAACAAAACAAAACAAAACTTGAAATGGAGAAGGGTTAGTGCTCAGTATGGCATTGGGTAAATCCACCATCCAGATGGCTTGTCTCTTAGCCAATAGGTTGAACTTTCCAATTTGATTGGTGTTTATATTTTGGATATTTGGAATGTTAGGTCTCTAATGCAGGCCATAGGTAGATTCCATTCTCTTGCCCAGGAAGAAACAGATCTCTCTTAATGGGTCTCTAATGGCACATTCACATTGTGCTGGCTGAAGAGATAACCCTAAAATCATTTGGGAGATG